CCCAGGTGTAGGTTTAATATATATAGAGAGACGAAACCTCTCATCATTCAATGTATTCACGGTGCGTGTGTCGGGTCCATCGTTGTAGTGAGAGGAGCTTCAACAGTGACTGGGACTTGTGACCCAGGTGTAGGTTTAATATATATAGAGAGACGAAACCTCTCATCATTCAATGTATTCACGGTGCGTGTGTCGGGTCCATCGTTGTAGTGAGAGGAGCTTCAACAGTGACTGGGACTTGTGACCCAGGTGTAGGTTTAATATATATAGAGAGACGAAACCTCTCATCATTCAATGTATTCACGGTGCGTGTGTCGGGTCCATCGTTGTAGTGAGAGGAGCTTCAACAGTGACTGGGACTTGTGACCCAGGTGTAGGTTTAATATATATAGAGAGACGAAACCTCTCATCATTCAATGTATTCACGGTGCGTGTGTCGGGTCCATCGTTGTAGTGAGAGGAGCTTCAACAGTGACTGGGACTTGTGACCCAGGTGTAGGTTTAATATATATAGAGAGACGAAACCTCTCATCATTCAATGTATTCACGGTGCGTGTGTCGGGTCCATCGTTGTAGTGAGAGGAGCTTCAACAGTGACTGGGACTTGTGACCCAGGTGTAGGTTTAATATATATAGAGAGACGAAACCTCTCATCATTCAATGTATTCACGGTGCGTGTGTCGGGTCCATCGTTGTAGTGAGAGGAGCTTCAACAGTGACTGGGACTTGTGACCCAGGTGTAGGTTTAATATATATAGAGAGACGAAACCTCTCATCATTCAATGTATTCACGGTGCGTGTGTCGGGTCCATCGTTGTAGTGAGAGGAGCTTCAACAGTGACTGGGACTTGTGACCCAGGTGTAGGTTTAATATATATAGAGAGACGAAACCTCTCATCATTCAATGTATTCACGGTGCGTGTGTCGGGTCCATCGTTGTAGTGAGAGGAGCTTCAACAGTGACTGGGACTTGTGACCCAGGTGTAGGTTTAATATATATAGAGAGACGAAACCTCTCATCATTCAATGTATTCACGGTGCGTGTGTCGGGTCCATCGTTGTAGTGAGAGGAGCTTCAACAGTGACTGGGACTTGTGACCCAGGTGTAGGTTTAATATATATAGAGAGACGAAACCTCTCATCATTCAATGTATTCACGGTGCGTGTGTCGGGTCCATCGTTGTAGTGAGAGGAGCTTCAACAGTGACTGGGACTTGTGACCCAGGTGTAGGTTTAATATATATAGAGAGACGAAACCTCTCATCATTCAATGTATTCACGGTGCGTGTGTCGGGTCCATCGTTGTAGTGAGAGGAGCTTCAACAGTGACTGGGACTTGTGACCCAGGTGTAGGTTTAATATATATAGAGAGACGAAACCTCTCATCATTCAATGTATTCACGGTGCGTGTGTCGGGTCCATCGTTGTAGTGAGAGGAGCTTCAACAGTGACTGGGACTTGTGACCCAGGTGTAGGTTTAATATATATAGAGAGACGAAACCTCTCATCATTCAATGTATTCACGGTGCGTGTGTCGGGTCCATCGTTGTAGTGAGAGGAGCTTCAACAGTGACTGGGACTTGTGACCCAGGTGTAGGTTTAATATATATAGAGAGACGAAACCTCTCATCATTCAATGTATTCACGGTGCGTGTGTCGGGTCCATCGTTGTAGTGAGAGGAGCTTCAACAGTGACTGGGACTTGTGACCCAGGTGTAGGTTTAATATATATAGAGAGACGAAACCTCTCATCATTCAATGTATTCACGGTGCGTGTGTCGGGTCCATCGTTGTAGTGAGAGGAGCTTCAACAGTGACTGGGACTTGTGACCCAGGTGTAGGTTTAATATATATAGAGAGACGAAACCTCTCATCATTCAATGTATTCACGGTGCGTGTGTCGGGTCCATCGTTGTAGTGAGAGGAGCTTCAACAGTGACTGGGACTTGTGACCCAGGTGTAGGTTTAATATATATAGAGAGACGAAACCTCTCATCATTCAATGTATTCACGGTGCGTGTGTCGGGTCCATCGTTGTAGTGAGAGGAGCTTCAACAGTGACTGGGACTTGTGACCCAGGTGTAGGTTTAATATATATAGAGAGACGAAACCTCTCATCATTCAATGTATTCACGGTGCGTGTGTCGGGTCCATCGTTGTAGTGAGAGGAGCTTCAACAGTGACTGGGACTTGTGACCCAGGTGTAGGTTTAATATATATAGAGAGACGAAACCTCTCATCATTCAATGTATTCACGGTGCGTGTGTCGGGTCCATCGTTGTAGTGAGAGGAGCTTCAACAGTGACTGGGACTTGTGACCCAGGTGTAGGTTTAATATATATAGAGAGACGAAACCTCTCATCATTCAATGTATTCACGGTGCGTGTGTCGGGTCCATCGTTGTAGTGAGAGGAGCTTCAACAGTGACTGGGACTTGTGACCCAGGTGTAGGTTTAATATATATAGAGAGACGAAACCTCTCATCATTCAATGTATTCACGGTGCGTGTGTCGGGTCCATCGTTGTAGTGAGAGGAGCTTCAACAGTGACTGGGACTTGTGACCCAGGTGTAGGTTTAATATATATAGAGAGACGAAACCTCTCATCATTCAATGTATTCACGTTGCGTGTGTCGGGTCCATCGTTGTAGTGAGAGGAGCTTCAACAGTGACTGGGACTTGTGACCCAGGTGTAGGTTTAATATATATAGAGAGACGAAACCTCTCATCATTCAATGTATTCACGTTGCGTGTGTCGGGTCCATCGTTGTAGTGAGAGGAGCTTCAACAGTGACTGTGACTTGTGACCCAGGTGTAGGTTTAAGGGACCCTATCTAACGCGCGTTAAACGCTCACCACCTAAGAATGTATTAATGTTAGTTCTGGACAGGCCCAAGTCTTTTAGTAGGTTGTAGAGAGATTCCGCTGTTATACCTCTCACTCCCACCTCTACCACGTAGAAATCAACGACGAACCTTTTTCGAGTGAGTTCTTATATTATAAAAGAAAGTATACTTATCGATCGGAAACATGTTTAAGCGTCTTATAGAGTTTTTGAGTGTGACAATTTGTACATAAATAATTATTATCTATGAATAATTATTAGTATTTTTGAGTAAAATCAGGATACATAATAATTATGGCTATTTATTTGTAATAAAATACTTCATGTTAACAAGAGCTCCAGCTTTAACAAGAGAAAGGGATATTTGTTACGAAAATTAATTTATGATAACTTCTCAAAAGCGCCATCTATGAATGAGCACAAGAGTTGACACAAAAAGTTCCCATTATGATATTCCTGACGAAAATTTAAAAAGAAAGAAAAAAGTTAGGAAAGATGTTAGGTCTTATATTTATCAATACATGAGCTGTATTCTTGTATTGCTTTAAGTCACAAAGGAATAATTTCAACGCTTTTGAGATAGTAAAAGTTTTATAGAAACTTTTTTGAAACAACTCACTTATGCATTAAATATTAACTTATGTAAAGGTATGATTATTATTAGACAAACATATTATAACCGTGAGTTCACAAGTTAAACTAAACATGGAGATTTTTTAATTATACATTCTTAATTTCTTATATGTAAAAAAAATATATGTTTACTTCTTTTTTTTATAGTATGTCATGTTAACATAGCTTTGTAAACTAAAAACTGAAAATACTTTATTTTTTATAATTACTAAGGATACTGTTTGTTCTAAATCAATGATATAACATATAAAAATCAGTCATCTGGCAAACAATAAAAAACCAATATTATTATCATTAATTTATTTAAACTATAACTAACAATATTCTAATATTTTATTTAATACCAGTAAGATTTAGCCGGGACTCTGTCTTCTTTAATTCCCATACTTTCCATTATATCCATTTCAAATGTACATAATTTCGGTTGAAATGTTATCTGAAATAATATTATAATTATATTATGTATATACATAAATAAAATTGGAGTATATGTTATTAACTTATTACATAACAACAGTTCACTGAATCCCTACTAATATTATAAATGCGAAAGTAACTCTGTCTGTCTGTCTGTTACGCTTTCACGCCTAAACCACTTAAAACTGATTTTAATGAAATTTGGTACAGATATAGAGTTGACCTTGAGAAAGAACATAGGATAGTTTTTATCCCAGACTTTTGAAAGGTTCTCTTGGAAAAGTAATATAACCAAACTCCACGCGGGCGAAGCTGCGGCCGGAAAGCTAGTATGTAATATATACATATATTAAAATATTTTCCTTTTATATAATTTGATTGTCTGTATATTTGTTTCCAATAGTTTCTGAAACTAGATTTGACTTTGACTCAATGGTTGATGTAATAAGGAGTAACATATATTTAGTATATAAATAAAATAAATATATATTGCAATCATTTTAACTTGTCATATTTAGCTAGTTATTACTTATCCCTACTAATATTATAAATGCGAAAGTAACTCTGTCTGTCTGTCTGTCTGTCTGTCTGCTACGCTTTCACGCCTAAACCACTGAACTGATTTTAATGAAATTCGGTACAGAGATAGAGTTGACCTTGAGAAAGAACATAGGATAGTTTTTATCCCAGACTTTTGAAAGGTTCTCTTGGAAACGCGATATAACCGAACTCCACGCGGCGAAGCTGCGGGCGGAAAGCTAGTTATACATAAAAACATACATTTAAATTAAATTGGCAGTAAATATTGTTAATGTTACTTTGCCAACTGAGTTATATCTTCTACCTGGCAATTTCCCAGCTATAACCAGTTTCTGCCTTACATGTTGTGAGTAGTTTTGGCTAATTGATTTTACGACCGGCCGCCTGCCTGACATCAATCCTCTTTGGGAATGCATTATTCAGTGATGTCTAAATACTCTTAGAAAGTACATATGACTCGGAACAATCACATTAGTACTTGACCAGGCCAGGATCGAACCCCCGCCTCTTTTTTAACCACTAGGCCACCACTGACATATATATATATGTTTGATATATTTATTTACCTTAGTAACTTCACTGGCCGTTGTATCTTTGGCTTCGTTCTCTACATACAGTTCTTTACTCTTATAATCAAAAGTTTCTTCAGCTGATTTTGGTATTGGTATTATACGACCAGTTACTGTTGACACCCGGACCTACAATAATGAAAAATATATAGTTTTAATTTTGGTACATATTTGATATAATAGTTATATTTTATAATCCTTAATTAAGATAGTAAACTTTTTGTGTAGAAAGTATACTTTAAGATAAGTATACTTTTTGTGTAGAAAGCCTTAAAACCAGATATATATTATATATATTTAAATCATGTTCATTGAAACTAGTTAAAGTTCGCGGCTTTGTCCGCGTGTAATTCCTAATTGTATTTTGAGAAAAATTAAAAATGTATAAGTACTTAAAACAAATTAGCAAACAATGAGTAACAGACAAGCAGTACCTACAGTTTTTAACTTCACATAAAATGTAACTTTTGTGTCAAGATCTTTATTTAACTAAAGGGAAATTTGAATTAATCTCATACAAACTACATTACTGGAATGTTTAATAAAAATCCGTTCAGTATATATTACATTGAATAACAACAAACATATGCCCTCATAATCTATTGCATTTATAATATTAATAAAACATATCAATGAAATCAAACAAAACTGTTACAAGTGGCGCCATCTATACGTACTTGTATTTGAAAACTATAATAACTATCAGCTATTTTGTAGAATTACTGGAAATAATGTTGAACATTGAAAATCAAGAGTGAAACTGTCATATATCAAACAAAAACCTCTTATATTAATGTACTATTCAACAAAACTATATTAAATTTGCCATGTACATATATATATATATACTCTTAATTGCACTGTAAAAATTTACATGGTTATTTTACATACAGAATTTTGTTCACCAAGGCGGGCTTTTTTCTAAAAGAAATTTCTTCCAGCCAACCCACAGCTGTAAGAGTTTGTGTGTACAGCAGGTAATAATTGTGCAATATGATGCTCTTAATAATATAATATAAAAAAAAAACATTTTAATATAATACATAGTATAACACTTACATAAATATCCATGATATAATAAATACATATGTATATACTTGTTATTGTATTACGCTAAGTAGCAAAATAAATGACAGACACTAATATAATAATCTACCTACATTACACTTGACATCATATTATTTTAACACATAACTAATACATAACAGTTAGAATCAATTAAAATTAAACTACCTTTTCACCATCCTCTGTAAATCTCCACTCGACATCCGTTGATTTCAATGTTTCAGGATCAACGAGCTTTACACCTGTTGTAACTAACAACGGTGCTTCAGATTGTATTGTTATACCGGGGAAGTCTTTTTCTTTACCAACCTGGAAAAAAGAGTATAAGTAGGTATTTAAACATGAAAAAATTGTAATAGTAGATTTGTGCTTGAAATAAAGATTTTTTTTTAATTTTTATATTACAATTATAAAATTTTGTCGACTACATAAATTGTTCTTGAGTTTACTCAAAATAAAATCTGAGCCATGATTACATACATACATAATAATTTCGAGAATACATATTTTTATTAAATGTACAATAATATGTAGTATCAAAAACTAAACCTAACCAGTGGCGGCTGTACCTTAAGTGCACTCGTGCGCTGAACCACCAATTCAAAAGATTTAAAAATTACAAAATACTACTTCATTTTTATTTTTAAATTACCATTTTAATATTTATTTTCTAAACATACAAAAACGTATAAAAAATTAAATTTCTAATTATAGTCAAAAAGTTTGAGCGCTTTACTAAACTAATATCTCGTGCGCTTCGGCGAGTGCACGAGGACTGCTAATACATCTTGTATGAGATACGCATTAATACGCCTGGCGCGTGAAACAAAAGATAGTTCATAGAAATGTACCGAGTAATGAGTCGGTTCTCGAGCGCCGCACGAGCGGCCGAAGATTACCGAGAGCACCCGATGTATGACGAATTGGAATTGAAAAGAATCAAAACTTTTCTCCGAAATACCTTGCACTTGCTAAATGCACTTTCTGTGCTTAGTATTGAATAAAAAAAAATTACAAACAATACCCGATTTTAATAAATAGGTGATTGAACATTTCGCTTCGGAAAAATGTCGTTGCATTAACTAATGTATAAAAAATGAACATATTTTATGTCAATTGGTTTTTTGTTGCATTTTCTAATTTTAATATTTTACAAAAGTGCACCACCAGTTCGATAACCCACCAGCCGCCACTGAACCTAACATATAGGTACATAAATATTTTGTATTAAATATATACATTTAACATAATATTATGTTGAATCATTGGAATATACATATTAGTCCGAGATCCTACTGCAGGTTTGGTGCATTCATCAGTTATTTGTTTTAAACAAAATTTTTATATTTATTTATGGTTAGGAGAACATTTATTTACTAGGGTGACTATCAAAATTAGGTGTCATTACTTTTAAATAAATTTTTGGGAAAAAATTACATTTATTTATTTTTTAAATAAAAAAACCTATACGTGATAGTAATTTATATGAAGATTCTAAAAAATCACGGTTTCTATTGCACACCTAGCTGCACCTTTTCACACCCTGGCTGTGAAGAGTTGCGTCTAGGTGCGCTGTTATTTAAAACATATACATATTATGTTATTTAAAAATATGGTTTTAAACAAATAACCGATGAACACACCAATCCTGCAGTGGGATCTCGTACTATATGTGTATAATATATTGTACCAAAATGCCCTCTAGCCTTAACTTTGTTGTTTTGATCTCACCAATTCATTTTAAGACCATTTCACTATACAAACATTTTCTTTACACAATTATTTATGTATTAGGCCAACAATATGGATATATTGAAGTTTTTTTTAATCAAAACAAGAATGCAAATATATGAGTCATGAACAGAGTTAAGAGATGCAGAAAGAGTGGTTATACAGCCACGGGCAAAAGTATTAGGCACCCTACAGTAAGACAAGTTTTAGGGTGTTTTAGCATAGCGAGTGTAAATAAAACTGCATTTATGATTACAATGGTTTATTTTAAGAAAATAATTAACATTTTGTAGGTCCACCTTTTGACTTAATAACCGCAGCCACTCTTTTTGGCATTGACTCTACCAGCCTGAAACATTCTTCTCTTGATATATTTTTCCATTCCTGCTGTAACGCGGCCAATAGAGCTTGTTTATTGCTAATCGAGTGCCTGCGGATATTTTTCTTTAAAATGGACCAAATATGCTCAATCGGGTTGAGGTCTGGTGATTGTGGTGGCCAGTCCAAAAGATCAATATGATTTTCAGCAAACCACTTCATGGTATGCGCGGACTTGTGGCAAGTGGCGTTGTCTTGCTGAAATTTCAGGCCATCGGTGTTTGTATCACCGAAAATTTGCGTTATCGACGTTGCTAGTGCTGTTTCCAGAACTTCAGTGTATTTAACACACAACACCATTTCGCCCACTCCGTCGGCAGCCATGCAGCCCCAGATCATTATTGAGCCTCCACCATGCTTAACAGTGGGAACCACACATTATGGGTTGTATTCTTCGCCAACCCTTCGCCTAACATAAGTCACACCGGGTGTTCCAAACACCTATGCCAAACGAAAAAAACCCATTTATTTTCAAAGTCATTATTTTTCTTGCAGTACGTTATTTTAAAAACTTTTATATGTTTTAATATTGTACATAAAATAAATAACAATACCTCAAAGTTAGATTCGTCTGACCACAGTATGTTGGACCAATCTTCCACTGACCAATCTCTATGTTTGACTGCCCACTCCAACCGATTTTTCTTATTGTGTTCTGACAGCCACGGCTTCTTCCTTGCTTTACATCCTTTTAATCCAGCTTTAAGAAGTCTTCTTCTCACAGTATAAACACTCACTGAGCTGCCTTTTGCCTCAGATAATGCTGCAGCGAGCTCTAAAGCAGTTTTTTTTCCTGTTTTGTAGAGACTGCCTAATCAACAATCGATCTTCCCGTTCAGTAGTAACTTTTCTTCTGCCTGTTCTTGGTCTATTTTCATGAGTGCCAGTCTCTTTGAAGCGATTTATAGCATATTGAACTGCACATCGCGAGCACTTCACTTCTCGGGCTGTTTTAACCTGAGACATGCCTTGTTCATGTAAAATCTTAATTCTCAGACGCTGTTCAGCACTAAGTTCAGATTTTTTCGGCATGATTAACACGTTAAATGTTAGTCTTTTGAATTGTGAAAGGAATAGTTGCGTAGACGACGTGTATGTTCACTGCAAGCACTGATAACACACTATAACCCGAAACGCAAAAATAGCGAATTCGAAGAAACACCGCTTAGGAGCACACCTGGATGTCATAAATACTTTCTTTTATCTTAATTTGGTTAAAAATTGCCGCTAATACAATAGCTAAATCATAAAACACACACTTGACCGCTATCTAATGAGATAGTGACTAACAATAGGGGTGCCTAATACTTTTGCACGCAGCTGTATAATAGGAGATTTTTGCATAGAATGCTAACAAGTAACAAGTTTTATTACATTACTAGAAGACCTGGCGAACTTCGTATCGCCCTATAATCAAGAAATATGTTACGTTTTTTTATTTATATTTTTGGAGTTTACCTGTAAGCCATAATTCTCCGTGTTTTGAAGAGCGACAGAATGATTGACATATTAGTTAGTTGTCAAATCTAATGTCAAAAAAAACGTTTGTATGGGAAATAGAAAAGGGCTGTTTTTATGGTTTTCCCAGTAATGAATCAATTTTTTTCAGCTTTTATACCTTCCCTGAACCTCCACGAACATTTCAAGACTAAGATAAGATAAATCTGTTCAGCTGTTCTCAAGTTTTAGCGAGACTAAGGAACAGTAATCCATTTTTATATAAATAGAAAAAGAAGATATGTACATAATACTTACCACTCTATAGTGTGTGTTCATGCCTTCAACTATAACCCAATTCCTCTCTTGAATCACTTGGCTTATAAGTCCTTGTTTTCCTTTATCTCTACCGACCATGATTTCCACTCGGTCACCCCTGAAATAATATTACCAAAGGTATAGTAAAGATAGAATTTAGTTATCTTTTGTTATTTTTTTTTTATTATAAGGTAATAGGGAATGAAAAGTAATCAAGACATATTCTACTATTTAAATCAAAAAACAGGTCTTATTTAAAGTAAATTTTATGTTTAAAGTATAATTTAAAGTATATTTTAGTTTAATTAAAATTTATAGGACATAAATTAGATAATCTATTTTAATGTGTGTAAAAGTGATCTTCGTATGTGTTTGAAAATACAATGATATAGCAATTAAACTTTTTGGGTACTAATCATTTGTTACTATTTTATATCTACACAATCTCAATGTTACAGTTCCTTTACAGCAGTGTTTTTAAAACTGTGGGTCGCGACCCTCAGGGGGGTTGCGAAGACTTACTCGGGGGGTCGCTGGCAAAAAAAAAAGGTGAAGTTCTACAAATCTACACCATAATAAATACCAAATTTTAATGAGAAGGATGGGCTTGTTTATTTTTCAAAAGCATGTCAAGTTGTCGTGCTATTATTGAAATATTATGTATCAAATTAACTTGTAATTGAACTTTATTTCTCATTTTTGTTTTGATGTTCACCATTGCAGAGAATGTCTTTAACTTTAATATATCTTTAGACTTTTAATTTAAGAATTTCCCTGCCTGTCTATAGCACAAGGGGGTCGCCAAAAATTACTACCCATAAATGGGTCGCGGTATCAAAAAGATTGAAAAACACTGGTTTACAGCAACAGTGATCATTAAAAGACAAGATAATGTAGTAATTTTAGAATATTGAGAAATGTATGGCTCTTAAAATTACAGAAGAAAAACAAACAGGTCTGTTAATATGAATTCTTGAGTCTTATAAGCTTAAGCAATAAATTAATGTAATTAAACATGTGGATTGTTTAAGTTGTGTACTAGTTATACTAAAGTAAAATTTTTTAGCTTCAGAGAAACTGTGAATTGTTTTTTTTATTTACTAACTTGAAAAACTTCCATTCTCCAACGGGTTCTAAGAACACCTTTTTTCTGAGAGTACCACGTTCATTTTGCCTCGAAAATTGTATAGTCCACGGCCTGTTTGTAGTGAAACGGTACTTTTTACGCGCTATTTGAGCAGCTGGGTACTGTGGGTATCCTTTTGGATTTCTCCAATAAACCTAACAAGTAAATATAGGTTATATTATTTGAGACGTAAAAATGTTATAGTAAGACTATTACATACCTGTTCATAGCTTCTTTTAATGTATGACTCGGGCAGGTTAGAGTATTTAACAGTTAAATCTCCAACTTTCTTACATAAATAACTGTATATTCGCATTTTGTGATTTCGTAATAAAAACAAATTTCAATAACTACTATTCAATGAGTTTTTATTCACAGTCGATTTTGACATTGATGTTTAATGTCAAGTTATTGTATATAAAGTACAGACGAAGCACTGTCTTTTAGGAACAGTTTTAGAAATATTATCTCATAATTAATTACAAGTACTTACTACTTTCAATTCTTTGAATACTGGTGGTTAGAATAAATAAAAAAAACAAAACGGAATGAAAATCAATTTATTTCAATATATAATAATGTTGATGGCATTGACGCTGAGATATTATATAACTTGCTCGTGAATCATCAATCAACTAATTAACAGAATTGATTTCGTTATTTTGATCCTATTGTAGTCTTAAGACTTTTGTTTTTTATAAAACTTATGTTTCTTATCTTTTTTATTTATGATTTTCATATTTTCAGTCTTTTCTTTTACGTACCTAAAGTTACATTCTATCTATTTATGTTAACATTTTGCTATTAATTATTACAATTACTGGCTATTAGTCTTAATTATCTATGTTGAGAAAAAAATTGTTTTAAAACTCTAAACTGAAATATATTTCAAACTGTTAGAATGTGCAAGAGACATAAATTTATGGTGATATTATATTAAATATATTATGATGTATTTTTTAGAAAAATTTAGTGCTCAGAAATGAATTCCATATTTTAACAGTATAAAATAACAAACAGTTTAATATTTTATATAATAAAATGTTTTTCATCGTGAAAATATATTCACCATAGACAATTGACGTAAATCAGCTGTCCAAATTAGTTCTAGTAGATGGCAGCACGGCATCACGTGAATTTTCATGGCGGTGTTGTAGGGCTAGCCCCGTATCGTCTTGTGATTTCACCAAAAATTTGCTGTTTCTGATATTTATTGTTAAACAGCACTTAATTTATAACACCGGGTGAGTATTATATTCTCTTGCTAATAATTAGGTAGAATTTAATGGTGTTTATGGGCTTTTGCGCGCGACTTTGTTGTCAAAATTGATATATTATCGATAGGGTTGAATAAGGGTGGTTGAGGGTGTGATTCTGTTGTGAAATGAGTTAGGCGCCAGGATGTCTGTCTGTCTAGCTGTCTGGACTAGGTATTGATTCACCGCAATGTATCGGAACTAGTCAAATATCTCTGGAATTCATATAACATCGCAGTCCTGTGACTTATAAAAATCGATTCCTTTGCCATAACTATTAAAGCTATTCAATTACGATTTAAATACTCTATTCATCATTAATAATGTTCAATCTAGCTTCCATTTGTTCAAATTAGCTGTAGTGTATATATAATTAATTAATTAATTAATAATGAAATTTCAGTGATCAAGATGAGTGAATACTGGTTAATTAGTGCCCCTGGCGACAAAACCTGCCAACAAACATGGGATACTTTGAATAATGCCACCAAATCCGGCAGTCTCAGCGTCAACTATAAATTCCCTATACCTGACCTCAAGGTAAATAAAAATTAATTAAAAACACATATTTTTACATCAGTTTTAAGTACTTAAAAGTTAGTGCAAGATGATAGATTAATCTTAGAATTTTCTGAAGAATTCTTATCTATTGGTCTCTAATGATAAGCAAATCAAAAAAATATTTTCCAATATTATATCACCAGGCTGAACAAATTTTTAACTTTATTTAAACATATTTTAATTAAAAATTTGGATAATTTTATAATAGTAATGAACTAATTACAAGTCACTTAAAATACAGTAGAACTCCAATTATCCGAACTCCGACTATCCGAATCTCTGATTATTCGAATCACTTTCAGAAAAAAAATTGTCCAAAAAAAAGTCTTAAGTGCGCTATTATTCTTTCCCCCGCGAAGCCAGTGTTTGCGCGTTCGCTCTCTATTGTCCTTAACACCGCGAAGTCAGTGTAGGCACAACGGCAAGTTAAGACCGCAAAACAGCTTACATTGACGAAGATGTTTAAAAAACAATGATTTTTATTTCTAAACTTGTACATAAGTACAATTTATTTATATTTAAAACATGTGAAAATATCATGTTTCTTTCATTTAATTCAATAAAAAAATAGCGCAATATGAAAACGTAACTTTTTTCTCTCCAATGGCAATTTAAAAAAAAAACTCCGATTATCCGAATATTTGATTATCCGAATGGGTGCCGGTCCCCATTAATTTGGATAATTGGAGTTCTACTGTATTATATTATAACTCTTTAAAGAGGTTTTATATTCATGTTATAATTTTTTTGTTAAATTAAATTATTAATTTCTCAGTTGTTTTTTTCTTAATAACTAATCAATAATATTTCTTTAAGATTGTAACACTTATCTTCATTAATACAAATACATAGTAGTGTACTGTAATTCTTAATACCAGTATGTCTCTGCCTTAAATTCTAAGAAGCCATAATTTTTCTAATGGGATAAGTCTTACATTACAATATATAAATGTCCATAAAATGTATAAATACTTAGTAACATACATTTCTTTGATATTATTTGTTAATTGAAAGAAACCCATATGTTCTTATAATCAAATATGTATACAGATATTTTAATATGTACTGATAAATTAATTAACACTTTGACAAGCTTATTTTTAATATATGAATATCAAGATAATGATTATAAGTAGAATCTAATATTGTTTAAGTTCAACATATATACATATACTAGTTTCCGCCCGCGGCTTCGCCCGCGTGGAATTCGGTTATATCGCGTCTCCAAGAGAACCTTTCAAAAGTCTGGGATAAAAACTATATCTTATGTTCTTTCTCATGGTCAACTCCATCTCTGTACCAAATTTCATTAAAATCAGTTCAGTGGTTTAGTGTGAAAGCATAACAGACAGACAGACAGACAGAATTACTTTCGCATTTATAATATTAGTAGGGATATGTATGTATGTATGTATGTAATTATAGTTTTTGATATTAATATTATATTTATAGGTGGGTACTTTGGATCAGCTCGTTGGTTTGTCGGATGATCTCGGCAAACTTGATACTTTTGTTGAGGGTGTTACAAGAAAGGTGGCGCAGTATCTCGGAGAGGTTAGTGGCATAAAATGAATTATGATGTTAAATAGTTAATTTAAATACATTAAATAATTTGTGGATTAGAAAATCGTTCTAAACATTCATATTTATAAGTAAATATACATTTTTCGATATATTATATATAATTTTTTTCGAAAATCGCATAGATTAAATAATTTGGCAGAGATATTTTTTTAGCAATTTTCAAGACTTTGATTTTTTTGATAGTAATATAAATTTAAGACATAATATTAGGGCCTTAAATATTCTGTCTATAAGACGGCCTAATTGTCATTTGATCAAGCAATTTGAATTATATAAAAATTTAATTAATAGTATTTTTATGTAGAAAATTCAATTTTATTATTATTTTATATACTATTTAATACAGGTACTTGAAGATCAACGCGACAAACTTCACGAGAATCTGACGGCTAACAATAGTAAGTAAAATTTTCATTATATCAAACCGTTCATTTACATGGCACTAAACATTTTGACATGAAACATTAATTTTAATTTCCATAAATATCTTGTTTAGTGCCATTTTTATTTAGCTTTAAAAAAATATCATAAAAGAATTTTTATAAAAACGATGCATTCATATGATTTTGAGAAAAAAAATAATATTATTTGCATGGAATTAATTCGATTCATAGAAAAATATTTAGCATGTGTGGGGTTTGATTTAGATAAAAAAAATGATATAAAAGCATATATTTTTAAACACGAAACGGTGTTGCGAGCATGAGAATTAATTGAGAATAGTTTTAATGAGTTAGAAAGTTAAATCGTAAAAGCACAAGAGTAGTGCGAAAGATTTTTTAAGCATGATGCTCTATCGGTGGTAATTTTACATTTTTATACTATTTATTTATAATTTTTTTTTTTTGTTTATTTTTTTGTTATTTTCTTCTTTATTTGCATGTCTTATAATTTTGAACACCATTTCTTGTATCATATATTTTTTTTTGTACATTTGTAAGTTTTTTTATTTGCAATTCTTGTATATATATGTATTTTTAAGCATCGTACATTAACACTTACATTTTTAATCATTTTTCGAGTTCTTGAGTGTTTTTTCTTAGTTTTTTTGAACGAAATTACGAATCTTTGCAAAAAAACACTTTATTATATATATGTTAATTAAAATGGTTTTTCTAAGTCATTGTTGCACTGTTGATTGCATTTTAAATACCATACGCTCGATATAAAAAGTATTTATGCATTATTTTTCTTTAATCTCACGTTACTTGTAAATATTTCTTTATACACATATGAAATAACATTTAATATATATATTATTTTATTTGAATGCTTTTTTATATGCATAATGGCTGTTTTTATATATCACATTGTAATTAGATATATGATCTTCACTTAGTTGTGTATGTTAGCATTGAAATTGCATTTCAGTGTCTGAGAAATGGAAAAAAATATGCGGAAGTGAGTAATATATATAGTTTTATGTATTGAAGTGTATAAAGTGGAAGCTTTGTTAGAGCTTTTTTCAGGTTTAAAATTATATGTATATTAGTTTAATAATAATAATAATAGATAATTGCTTTATTGCTTATATAAAAATGGTAAATCTATTTTCGAAGTTACATTTGATGATTATTAAGAATTGTACTATTTAAATGTATGAAAAAAATGTATATTATGAACGATTCTCCTATATTTTGATGAGAATAACGTTATTTACTAGGGCGAGTATGTAGTTGGTTTATTTTGTATTCAGTGGTTAATCCAGCGTGTTTTATTACCGGGACGGCCTCCATTTTATGAAGTGTACGTTTTATGACGTGATGTGATCGTATGTTGTAAATTTTTGCACAAAATTATTTAAATAATAATATTCTACATATAATGAATCATAGCAATCACTGCCTCACAAACATTCATAGCTTAAAAAGCTTAAATCCTTCATGCTTGTCGCTTCTTATTTTTGGATTATTTTCTTTTTTTTCTATAATTTTTTTTGTTTATATTTTTATTTTTTATTATGCCCTTTCCTATACTAACCTCCCGTAATTTTAGTTAGTTTTTTTTTCCTAAGTTCGATATCTCGTTAGGGAAGGCATTAGATTAAAATTAATGGATCGTTTTGAGGGTCGTTAACTGAAGCAACACTCGTGCGACGATGAAAACGAAAATAAAATTCACGAGACCGATAAATGTAAGCCAAATGTGTACAGTAAACGAATGTTTTGCAGAGATTGTAAAGCAAAATCGAGATACCAAAGATATATACAAATACGGACAGATTTTTTATATAACTAAAACAAAGCTAAAGGAAGCGTCTGTTTGTTTGCGATCACGAAATCTGCCGAATTCAGGCATGGACTCTTATTCTGACCCGGGCGGAGGCCAGCCGTCCACGCCTTCGCCGGTTTGCGACTCAGCTTACTCTGAGCACCACGGCTGTTGGCCATGCGAGCATCACGATGTGCCAACGATCCGCCAACGATTGGCCAATGATGAGCCAGCCACGCCATCTAGCGGCCGCAGCTCGAGCTGGGATGACGATGAGGATGAAGCCCACATACTGACGCAAGGTTCCCATCCCTATCCCAAATCCTGCCCGTTTTGATCGGGATTTGAGATCTATGCTTGCACTAACGCTTGCGTCTCAAATACTGTTCAATGCTAGAAACTGATTGGTCGTTAACAGGCTAGTTTTGATCATAGATGGCGCTACCTGTCTGCATTGGTATGATTCAATATATCTAGCCGTTATATTTGTACATTTCGTGAAGGCAGTGGTTGCTAAAATTTATATATCCGATTCTAACAGGTGGTGCTATTCTATATGTATTAAGCGCCATCCTGAATTTTTTATAGGTATTGTTATATAATTATGATGAAAATAAATATTTTTGTTATAAAGTTTGTGGTGACGCTAGAATAACAGAATATGTCGAGTCGCAGAGATGTAAAAAAAAGTTATTGTCGCTTTGTTCAATTTGTAAATACATTTGATGTATGTATGTACTATCTGTGTCCATACATGTTTTTTCTTTATTTTATTTTGCATTACCCCTGTACGTTACACGCCCCGTACATGTCGAATTATGTGAAAAAACCTTTTTTTTTGTGGTAAATTTGTCAAACAAGGTGTTTCCAATATATCTATTGTAAAAGTTTTTCAATCATTTGGTACATAAATGTGAAGTAGATTCCGAATTGCTTAGCAATTTGTCGTATTTTTTGTGAACTAGGTTTATAATTGCATGGTATTATATGTGGTATGAATTTGAATGATTTTGTACTCAAATGTATGTTTGCATGTGAATGTAGAATTGTATAATAGTTTTAAATGCATCATTAGGTTATGCTTTATTTTTTTTTATTTCATTTTTTTTGTATTTTTTTTCAGCACACGTTATTTTATGTTTTTGCTACTTACACATGTTTTGTACATTGATTTTTTAATGGCTTTGAATTAAAATATTATGTTTTTTATTATTTTTTAATCGAAGTCGTTTTATCAGAAACATCTTATATGCATTGATTTGTTAGAAAATTTCAAGCTTCAACATATGAGATGTTTATATAAAATTTATTTTAAAATCATGGAAAATTTAAAAGGCTGTACATTGGCTCTCATATAGATAAAAAATATTCTAAATAAATTAAAGTTATTTATTTAAGTGTAATATATTATTATAATATATGTATATTATGTTTCCAGGCGACTTGCCGACGTATTTGACACGTTTCCAATGGGATATGGCCAAGTATCCCATAAAGCAAAGTCTACGCAACATCGCTGATATTATCAGTAAACAGGTTAGTATATAATAAAAATTATTTATAAATTATATTTTAATATTAATTTCGATTATGACAAAGAAATTTTTGGATAAATTCCACCTTAAAAGATGTCTTTGCTTTTCAATACGTGACAACAAATAAAAAAAATTTAATTGAAAAATATTACAAGTATAACAATATCAGAATTTCTAAATAATAATTATACAAAAAAAATATTTTTCGACTTACAATAGTTTTGTACTGGGATAACTTGAGTCGTTATACTGGTATAGAGATTAAAATTATTTAATATAATTTTTTATACATTAGTTTTATATAACAGGTAGGACAAATCGACGCTGATTTGAAGATGAAATCATCAGCTTACAACTCGCTGAAGGGAAACCTGCAGAGCTTGGAGAAAAAACAGACGTGAGTATATAACACGGACCACGAGACGAGATAATAAATGTAAACAGAGATTTTGATCTGAATATATTTATGTATATCATTAATATGTAAGTTTAATTGAAACTGAAATAGGTTTTGATGTTTTTGTATAGTTTGAGTTATAAATAATTTTGTATGGAAATTCAACTATCCCTACTAATATTATAAATGCGAAAGTATCCCTAGTAATATACAGGGTGACTGGTAAATTACTATCAATATTTAAGGAGAATACTCGGTACATGATTCTCAATCGAATTATGTAAAAAAAGAACTTTTCAAAAGTCTGGGACAAAACTATCCTATGTTCTTTCTCAAGGTCAACTCTATCTCTGTTCCAAATTTCATTAAAATCAGTTCAGTGGTTTAGGCGTGAAAGCGTAATAGACAGACAGACAGACAGAGTTATTTCGCATTTATAATATTAGTAGGGATTTATATGGAAATTGAAATATAATATGTATATGAATATTTGTCAATTTTGAATTCATGGTTGACTATAAATCAAAAATTTATTACTGTCTTAGTATTTATGTTTAAATTCAAATATTTTTATAAAAGTATAAGTAAAAATACTTAATTGAGAATTGAACTGGTTACCTCTAGAATATATTAATAAAGAAGCTTTACAATTTGAGCCATCGTGATCTTAATTATTCAGACCATAAATTCAGCATTATACATTAACTGAAATCATAAGTTCTATAATACGCGACTCTTTCGACTACCCTCAAATAATTTAACTAAAATATAGTACATTTAACTCAATATTAACCACTGGTTATCCTAATATTAACCACTGGTTGTTCCTATATTAACCATTGATTGTCATTTAAATTCATTTCCAGTGGAAGTCTGTTGACCCGCAACCTCGCTGATTTGGTTAAAAAGGAACATTTCATTCTGGACAGCGAATATCTAACTACCCTACTCGTCATTGTACCCAAGTGAGTATACTACTATAGAATAGATAAGTAGCAAAAAATAATAGTTTTAAATTACTTTTGGTAGTATAAAACTACTCTTGTTTACGAATATTGGTGAAAAATTATTTGTCTTAGTACATAAAGTGTATAATATTATTTTTAAACCATATAGATTTTAAATTTATCTATGAAATATATGTCATGAAATAATTCTTTTCAAATCTTCCTTTTAACTATGATTTCATATTTTTGTTTATTACTTTTCTTATAACTCAGATATACATACTAAAATTAATTATACAAAAAATATATTACAATTAGCTTCGTCAAAGAAATATCACTCACCAAATCTAATGGCTGAAAATAACTTTAACCTTGACTTTTAACTTAAAATCATAATATATATTTCACACTTAGTTAATTTTTACTGTAACTTTAACTATAGGGCGATGTTTAACGACTGGAACGCTAACTATGAGAAGATAACTGACATGATTGTACCGCGTTCAACTCAGCTCGTACATCAAGACAATGACTACGGGCTGTTCACTGTAACTCTGTTCCGTAAGGTGAGTCAGTTAAAATAATGGTTAAATATGGGGATTATAATAACCTTTTTGATATTCATAATCTAGTTTTTATGTTAAGTATACCTATTAAAAGAAATTTTTGAAAAGCTATCTTTAATATTTTTATTGTTCTTATAAAAATTTCATCCATCTTTTATGCAAAAAATTTATTTAAAGACTCTTAATTCTAGATTTAATTGAACATAATTCCTATGTATGATTGCTGGAGAAAATGCTAATAGTTTTCAGTGGCTAGACATAAATTTGTTCAAATAGCAATTCATCAGTTTGTATCCAAATAGCAATTCACCAGTTTGTGTCCAAATAGCAATTCACTAGTTTGTATCCAAATAGCAAATGTCCAAATAGCAATTCACCAGTTTGTGTCCAAATAGCAATTCACCAGTTTGTGTCCCAATAGCAATTTACCAGTTTGTATCCAAATAGCAAATGTCTAAATAGCAATTCACCAGTTTGTGTCCAAATAGCAATTCACCAGTTTGTATCCAAATAGCAAATCTCCAAATAGCAATTCACCAGTTTGTATCCAAATAGCAAATCTCCAAATAGCAATTCACCAGTTTGTGTCTAAATAGCAATTCACCAGTTTGTATCCAAATAGCAATTCACTAGTTTGTATCCAAATAGCAATAGTCCACTCTATCCATATACCAATAGTCCATATTTCCGCCAGGTGGTAGACGAGTTCAAGCTGCACGCCCGTGAACGTAAGTTCATTGTCCGCGAGTTCTCATACAACGAGGCGGACCTCGCGGCCGGCAAGAACGAGATCACCAGGCTCGTTACTGACAAGAAGAAACAGTTTGTGAGTTACAGTTGATATTACATTCATTTATTTATATGAATTACTAGCTGGTGCATATCTCTATCAATCAAGCAGAATTACCTAACTGAGTCATCAAATAAACATTAGTAATGTACTAACGACAAAGATAGACGTAATTTTAACAAGAACTTAAGGTCTATGACTCTACTTTTTACTATAAACTCTGTAAAATTCTTAGTAGTAGTTCAACGAGTAAACAAAGCTAAAGAATTATAATTACAAAGAAAATTATTAGTAACTAGCTGCGCCTCGCGGTGTTGCCGGGATTTCCGGGATGTAAAGTAGCCTATGTGCTATTCCTGGACGTCAGCTTCATGTATACAAAATTTTATCAAAATCGGTCCAGCCGTTTGAGCGTGGAGAAGTAACAAACATACACACACACTGACAAACTTTTGCAATTATAATATTTGTAGGATACATAAAGACACTAATAAACTCTTCTTAGAAAGTTTATTTGATGTAATATAATAATGTTTTTATCTAATTTTCCTCTTAGAATATTGATAGTTATCAATATTAAGTTAAATTAATGTTACATTTAATTAACTCTACATTAAGGAAGACATTGATCAATATAGGTTCCAATAAGCATCCTTTGTGGATCAAAAAAATAATTCTTATAATGTAGTTTATTTTGGCATTAATTTAATAAGATGGATAATATTATAAAAATATGAAACTAAGGAGGTTTCAATTGATTTTTAAAAATATAAGAATGCTTTATTATATCAAAAGCATCACGTTGTTCATTATAATAAAGTTTTTGTTTATTTATTCCAGGGTCCGTTGGTGAGATGGCTGAAAGTTAATTTCTCTGAATGTTTCTGTGCCTGGATACACGTAAAGGCTCTAAGGGTTTTCGTTGAATCCGTACTGAGGTGAGAATATATATACTAGCTGCGCCCCCCGGGTTTACCGAGATTTCCGGGATGTAAAGTAGCCTATGTGTTATTCCTGGACGTCAGGTTCCTGTATAAAAAAAATTATCAAAATCGGTTCAGCCGTTTTAGCGTGAAGAAGTAACAAATATACACCCACACTCACAAACTTTCGCAATTATAATATTAGTCGGATATATGTATATACAGCCTTTCTCAGAGTGGGCTTTAAGAGCCTTAGATAATAGTGGGACGTTGTGTAAAGGTCTAGGGGATGATTAGTAATTAATTAATTATTATAGATAAAATAATTTATAGTGGTTTTTGAGTAGAAAAATGGTGGCATTAAAACATAATGTATTCCAATAGTGGATAACATAATGTATTCCAATAATGGATAAATAAGATTGGCAAAATGTATGATAGTTAACTTGATGTTGATAAACATCAAGTTAACTATCATATTACAGTTCTTCTATGATAGTTTTGTTGATCAGAAAAATCACTTGATACATATTATAGAAATATAAATGATAATAAACAAAAAAACATTTATATGTCACAACTGCATCAATTAAAACTTAAGCTTATTTTAAACTTCAACGTTGTACAAGAGAAACTATACAGGGTGACTGGTGAATTACTATCAATATTTAAGGAGCATACTCGGTACATGATTCTCATTCGAATTATGTAAAAAAAATAGGTACTTTATTTTTGACCAAATTTCCGTATAAATAAATAAAGCGTCGACACGTTCCAAGTGTTCCAAGTGTGGACGCGTGCGGCGGCGTGCTGATACAACACCACACCACCGCGTGTGTGTGTGTGTGTGTATACCTAATCTGTAGGGTGTTCACACGATGCGTAATTAATTACATAAATTTTGGTTAACTTTACTTCGAAGTTTATTAATATTTATGTTATATTAATTTTTATTTCGTCATATATGATCGTCAAATATCACGTCCTCAAGTATCGATAGTAATTCACCAGTCACCCTGTATATTATGTTTGCATATAAAAAAATCACAAAAACTACATTTAACTATCACGATAATTCTGTCATCCCTACTACTATTATAAATGTGAAGGTAACTCTGTCTGTTTGTTACGCTTTCACGCCTAAAACACTGAACTGATTTTAATGAAATTTAGTCTGTACTATCTCCATCTCTGTAGATAGAGTTGACCTTGACAAAGAACATAGGATAGTTTTTATCCAAAACTTTTGAAAGGTTCTCTTGGAAACGCGATATAACCGAACTCCACGCGGACGAAGCTGCAGGCGGAAAGCTAGTTTAAAATAAATATAATACGAATATTGTTGTCAATTACAAATATTACCTCATAGATATTTAATATTATATTAAATATATTATTCCTATACAAATATTACATGATAGTACTGTTTCATAGATACGGTCTGCCTGTGAACTTCCTCGCTGTAGTGATGGTCCCGGCTCGTAAGAGCGTGAAGAAGCTGCGCGACGTGCTGCAGCAGCTGTACGCCCACCTCGACCACTCGGCGCAGCAGCACGGACACGCGGCACAGGACGTTAGTATATATACAGACAGACAGACATACACACACACAGAGAGACAGATAGATATATACATACCCAGATACATACACAGATTCATGTATAAATACATACATAGGTATATAAATATATACATAGATACTTGTTATATACATAGTTAAATGCATACAGATAGATAAGATTTTGTTTAATATGACATTCCAATGAAAATTTAACCTTTATAAATTATATTATACTCTTAAAATTACTTGGTAATTTAAATCACCATAATTTAATTATTTAAAAGCTATTGATCATATACATATTACTTTCATTATATGAAGTATATTTATAATCTAAACTTTTATTTTATTATTGTTTCAGAATGCTGAGTTGGCCGGTCTTGGTTTCGGTCAATCAGATTACTTCCCCTACGTTTTCTACAAAATCAACATTGACATGGTCGAGAAAGCTTAGACGATACCATACTATATATATAGGTAACTATATAACATATGTAGAATATACTATGTGTATATAAGTGGCATGAAATAAAACAAATTGAAAGAAGAATTATGACTATTTAAATTAATTGTATGAGGAATTTTAAATGAATTCATATTGATAATCACCTTTATATTAGTTTTCATTTAAAAGATAATAATAATAATATTAGTTAGTAAATTACAGATTTTGTATGATGGCAAATAACTTTGTTTTCTTTTCTTCTCAATAAAGTTATGAGTATTTAATTTTTTTTAATAAATCAATCATTATCTTTCCTCATAAAAATGTATTCTTTGTACACAAATATGCAGTAACATTTTGAATTATGGATATAATTTTAGGTGTTTCTTGTTTGTGTATAAGAAAAATTGTCAAAAATTTGTATATTCCCTAAAAAATTTAATTGAAATGTATTTATAATGTAATTTTCATTGCAGGTATTGTTACCACATGGAAATGCTGTTCTAAGTGCTAGATGAAACAATAGTTGAAATATTGTATAATTATATTTATGATTGTTCATTCTTATACATTTATCCTAATTTGTTCAATGTACATATGATTGATTTTCATCATGAAATGCTATTTATGTATCAAATTGAAAAGATTTAATATTTATGAAGCCATCATAGAAAATATATGAGCTTTGGTTATTCCATTCGATGGATATATATATATTAAACGCAACAATTTTTATTTCAGTATTAAAGTTGCGCTATAGAGTAGTTACTGTTTGCGACTGTAAAGAAAAAAATATATAAAAATTATATCAGAGTTACGCAAAGCTATGTAAATAAAAACATTCCTCATAACTTGTGTAGTACATAATAAATATTATTAAAGTTACTGTTTCAATGACTTTTATTTATTATTTATTTTAGACTACGACTAATTGTTCTAACACTGCATCCCTTGTTATACACGTGATTGACAAAAAACGTTTATATACGCTAAAGGAGACAATAATGACTAATAAAGTGGAAAAAACAATTCTTACTACATGTCTTTCGGTGTAGAAAGCATGTAGGTAGGTTGGTAGATTCTGGCAATTTGCCGTCTCTAAATTGCCAGATATAATTCAACACAAGAAATTGAAATCTCTTAGAAAGCGAGAGGACGACACTTCATAAACGAAATTCTCGAATAGATAGAATACACAATTACCTGTCTAATAAGCAACAATAGAATAATCACACATAGTAATCAGAAGATATTAGTTTTATTTAAAATGAATACTTACGAAAGCATTGGTTCTTATTAACTACTTGGATGTCTATAAAATTTGTATCCTTACTAGATCTCTTCTAAGAAATGATATATTCAATTATTATCTAAGATTCCATATTATGAATATCAAAAGAATCCTGTTTCCTCTCTTCAAATAGAAATAGTGGTTAATTTCCACTTAATGCAAATAAATTTTACAATTAATTACATTTAAATAAATAGAGTTAAAAATTTCATAATAAAAAATGATATTCTGATTTAATCAACTGCTTTTTTTGTTGATTTTGTAGTGAGGATCATATAAACTATAAACAAAATTTCATTTCATAATATTAAAAGGAAAAAATACTTTTTGTCTTGGGAAGCATTATGTCTTTTGCAATTATTGATATTGCATTCATAATAAAATTGTGATAAGTATTGCTCCTAATAGTAGTACACAATAAATGTATTGAATGGCTGATTAAAGAATTTTTACTCTTAACAATATAATTGGTATTTAACAAACAATTATAAAAAAAAAATTAAAAGTATAATGCATGCATCCCTATGAATTAGTTTTAAGCAAATAAGTTATGTTGCTAAAAAAGTTAGCATGGTAGAAAAATTATATATATTAAAAAGAAAATTTTATATCATTATATTTAACTGCGTTTTATAATATTTCATATTCAATTAGATCCTTGATGTATCTTTGTATGAAGATATATTTAATTTAAAAACTAGCATTCAATCCCTAAATACGGTAATTTTCTTCAAGAACATTTCATAACAAAATACACAGGTATAGTTTAAGTTATTTATTTATAGTCATACATATATTACAATATTATTATACAAGTCACCACGTAAAGTGTAAACATTATGGAATTATTAATTAAACTTCAACCACACTTTATATCAATCTTTCCATTCATCATTATTTTCTGTGTCTTCTGGTTCCAACATTTTTGATAGAGTTGAGTTACTATCTTCTTCAATCCTTTTAAAAAGCGATGTCAAAAGTTTCTTATTCAAATGGTCAGTTTGAGTTAATTCTCGCACTGGGACTTCAACTTGTTCGGGTTTAACATGTTTATTTTCATCTGGTGCTGGCATTTTTAAATAAATTTATGGTAATAATTGTACAATAACAAAAACAGAACACAATTTTAATGTCAAGATGGTATTTTACGATACGGACTAAAGTAATATTAATGAATAATGAATGTTTATAAAATATGATTCACTTTTTGACACCTAACATGAAGTGTCAAAGTGACTGCGGCCATAAACTCTAAAAGGTGTAATTAGTAAAATATGTAACAAAATTCGATTTTGTTTTAATTTTACTTAATATAAATAAAGTTTTTTTACTTCTGCCGAATTAATACTGTGAGAGCATCAAGGAGATGGTTGGCTTTATCACATGAAAATAGAATATTGTAATGTAGTAAAATTTTCAGTTTTTACTAAACCGAAATCAATACGGTTTTTTATGTTAGTAAAGAAAGTGGATAAAAGATATTTAAAGAAAAGAATTACATGAGAACTTTATTGACAAGAGCAAGATTTAAGTATAGGATACCAACCACTTAATTAATATAGTTAGTTAGTAGAATAAGTTTGATTATGGACATTCAAAATCATACCAATCTTGATCCTGAAAATGATATCAACGCTATTTAAAAAACTTCAGGAAAATCAATCAATTAAAATAAAATATATATCAATGTTTTTCATAATGGCATCCCTGTAAGAACGAACGTCGTCGTCCTTCCGACCAGCGACATTTTCATCGGCTGGCATAGATTATTTAAATAGAAAAAGTCTCAAAAAAGTTAGTACAAGTGCTTATATTAATTATATAAATCATTTTCACAGTGAGGATAAGGATTGCTTATTTATTTCCTGGCTTAACTGATAATTATTAAGGGGCGGCGGTGATCGCATTCTTACATAACTTTCCTACATAACCTGAATTAAATCATCTGATTTTGTGTGTAATTGTTTTCAGAGCTGCTAAAATGTTGGGCCGTTTCGCACCGGGTGTATGTACCCAAGTGACCATGGTGGTCAATCAGCAGCAAAACAGAAACATGGCTACTCTTAAAGCCATTTCTATCCGTTTGAAATCTGTTAAGAACATCCAAAAGATCACCCAGTCTATGAAGATGGTGTCAGCCGCTAAGTAAGTAAAGTATAGATATAAAAAGTACTGGCCGGTTGTAAAAATAAAAATTAAAAAAACTAATTTGATTTTGGAATACTAGTCTTTAAGAGAGGACTTCTCAATTAAATTAAAAAAGGAATGTATTTTATTGTAATAATTATTGATAGTAGGTTCTGTTTATTTTTTATGTTAAGCAATTATTGAATAAGATATTTTTTGTTCTTAAATTATCACCTATTTGGAAACCAATAAATTTGAAATCTTTTTAGGTAATTGAAATTAAAAGAAATACAAAGAAACAATAACAAGAAAAAACATTTTTACCATACTGTATAAATACTTTTTCTATGACTTACATTCAACAAAAATAAAAAGCTCATTATGACATAATATCAAAAAGTCTTGCATATTCTCCATTCTGCATAATAGATTTAATATATAGAAATTTATCAATTAAGGAATTTAACATTATTAAATATAAAGTAAATTTTGATTAAAGATTTACAAAATTGTTAACAACATTATGGTATATAAAAATAAGGACATTTTTAGTCTACAGTTAAAATTTCTAGTATTGATTTTATCCGGAAAGTATTTATAAATATATATATACTCATTCAAGAACTTAAATTTATTGTAAAAATATTATTATAGAAATTAATAGAAGTTATAACTTCCTTATATATTTTTTAAAGAGAAGAGTTACAAATAGTATTCATAAAATCCACTACACTCCTTGCCTCAATATGATGCTAAAATAATATATAGAATGCTTAATTCTCTGATTTAAGGCAGCCTATAATAGCTTTATTCATATAACTATTTAGTTTTCAATATAATAATTCAAAAGCATTATGTTAAAATCCTGTTTAGATAAATTAATCAACAATTCTATATAATTAGTGTTCAATATAATATAACATAGTTATGTAAACTTAAAATTACAATAGAATTTATATACTGAAAAATGTTCTTTATTTTAACTCGTCATTTTAGTGTTTAGTAGCATTTTAGTGTTCTCAATATTGCTTAGGCTTGGCTTGAACCAAACACAAATAATATATACCTTCCAAAATGTGCTTATTTTTGTTTGATCTTTACCAATATGCTATAAGTTATTTCAAATTCTGATTTTAGATAAGAATTAATTATTGTAGGATAACTGAGTATATATGTATATCATGACTTCTATATACAGTAGGTAATATATACATAGATATATATACATTATACAGACAAGTAAATGTAGTTATATGATTCTCATTTAATTTCAGATACACTCGAGCTGAACGTGACTTGAAGGCTGCTCGTCCTTACGGAGAAGGTGCTTCCCAATTCTATGAGAAAGCCGAGGTAATTATGAACAATTTTATTTAGATCTCTATCCCAATCAAGTAGTAAAGTGTGATAGGATCTTCTTATATTTGTCAAGTAGACTACTTATAATATGTGAAAAATTTGTTTATGCTATAGAAAAGAAACTCAAATATGTTTTAATTATAAATGTACTAGCTTTCCGCATCGAGTTCGGTTATATCGCGTTTACAAGAGAACCTTTCAAAAGTCTGGGATAAAAACTATCCTATGTTCTTTCTCAAGGTCAACTCCCTCTCTGTACCAAATTCCATTAAAATCAGTTCAGTGGTTTAGGCTTGAAAGCGTAACAGACAGACAGAGTTACTTTCGCATTTATAATATTAGTAGGGATAAGTTAAATAGATTAAGGATATTTTATACATATTTTTAAAGCAAACTCATGTAAATTTTAAGTATACTGAAATAGGGGACAAATTTTTTCTACTTGTATGCAATAACTTTTAAATCTTGTACCTAAATTTTCAGGTTTCAGCTCCTGAAGACGAGCCCAAACAGCTTTACATTGCTATCACCTCTGATAGAGGTAAGATTATAAACTAATACTTTAGAATTTATCAATATTCATACAATATTAACTATGTAATTATTGCACTAGATCTCTAAGATTTAGAAGGGAATGTGTTAATATTCAAGTTGGTGGTTGTGTACGAGGGCTCGGGTTCGATCCTGCCAAGTATCAATGTGATTTTTCTGAGTCATATGTACTTTCTATGAGTATTTAGACATCACTGACTGATGAAGGAAAACATCGTGCGGAAACCTGGACTTATTTCACAATTATAAGTTTGAAATCACCAACCCGTGTTGAGCAAGCGTGTTTAATGCTCAAATCTTCTCCATGTTAGAAGGGGCCTCTCAGCAGTGGGCTCTGATAGGCTGATGATGAATTATTGCTATTTTTAAAGATTTAAAAGGAAATTGCTTAATATTTTGTATTGTTATAGGTTTGTGCGGATATATTAATAGATATTTAAAGATTTAGAAGGAAATTACTTAATATTTTATATTGTTATAGGTCTGTGTGGAGCTGTTCACACTGGAGTATCCAAAGTGATCAGGAACAGACTGTCGGAACCAGATGCGGATAACATTCGTGTGATCTGCGTTGGTGACAAGTCGAGGGGAATATTACAGAGATTGTATGGAAAGCATATCATTACTGTTGCTAATGAGGTAATTAAAATGTTTATAGGAATTTAATTGATGAATAAAACTTATCTATAAGTTATGTAAATCTTCCTTACATGTAGTTCAGTGCAATTTATTTTGTACAGATTTTTAATTTCTTTCCATCATATAATTTCATAAACTATTATACTCCAGAATAACATCTTGAAGTTAAAAATTATTTAAACTAGTGTTAGTTGTTAAATTCAAAGTAAATCAACTAGTAATTTTTCTTATTGATATTTGAAGCATTCCATACAAATGTGTGTCATTTTAATACAAGTTTTAACCAGAAATATTATTATTTTCCACAGATTGGTCGTCTGCCCCCAACTTTCTTAGACGCTGCCAAATTGGCCAATGCCGTCATGAACTCTGGATATGATTTTGGTTCAGGAAAGATCATTTACAACAAGTTCAGATCCGTTGTTTCCTATGTCCAGGCAGATTTGCCTGTTTTCAGCAAGAAAGCTATCGAAAACGCTCCTAAACTGGCTGTATACGATTCCCTGGATTCCGATGTTCTTCAATCCTATATGGAATTCTCACTTGCGTCTATGCTATTCTACGCATTGAAGGAGGGAGCTTGTTCTGAACAGTCATCTCGTATGACTGCTATGGATAACGCTTCGAAGAATGCTGGGGAAATGATTGATAAGCTGACTTTGACCTTCAACCGCACTCGGCAAGCAGTGATTACAAGGGAATTGATTGAAATCATTTCTGGAGCCGCCGCTCTCAACTAGTGTGAATGCCATAATACATTTTATTCCGTGGCTAATGTATGGTGTAATAAACTATGGTTAGACATATTGTTTTGTTTCATTGAATTATAATAAATAAATAAAATTAGCCTTTATTGCTGTTTAAATTGCAAAAACTACTTCTAAATAACTACATTTTATAATATTGTCCTTTTTCTTAATCTGATCATAAATTATTTATAATTAAATGCCTTCATCGACGTTCGTTTTAAAAACAGCTTGTCTTTCGACATAGGCCTCTTCTAAGTTTCATTGAATTATATTACTTTAATGTGACCAACTTATCAAACAGCAATTATGTTAACATTTGTATTTGTATAGTCAGAAGAAATGATGGATATTAATACATTAAATATAAAACTACGTTTATTAACTTGAAATCTCTTAGTATCAAATTACGTTTTTTTAACTTGAAATTTCTTATATAAAGTAAGATTAACAATATATCGCTAATTAGATATTTTTTTTTTTATAATTAGTTTGTTCCTTTAAAAACATTATAAAAAATAGACGGATATATTTATTTCTTAAGTGCGTTTTATTTGAAAAGTTCTTAACTAATTTAACGAAATTATAACCAGAAAATATTACCGCTCATATTTCAACTTGCCACCAAGTCTTTTGGAAGTATTAGTATAATAAATTAGAATTTAATTTGATTAAATTTTACTTTTGCGTTGCTTTGCTTATTGCCTCTTAGGTCGGAGGAAAATTAATTCTTAAATTAAAATAAAGTTTAACGGTGGAATATTTACTACAATTTTTAACTGATTCCAGTTTTACTATGTGAAGTCAAAAAACAGAAATATAATGTCGAAACTTAAATAATCATCACCAAATAACTAAACAAATGAAAATCATAATAATATTTATTACATAATCAATAGCAGTCTAATTTAAAACATAGATTATAACATTATAAATATCTAAACCGTCAGTAATTGAGCATTTCATTGAATACTCAATTCTCCACAGATAAAATACCCTATTTCTGTTGGAATTTTAACTCCCTCTTATACTAACATGCAATTAAATTTAAATAACAATACGAAGCAACCTCTGTATAAAAAAATTGAAAACATGATCCAAATTATCGCATACATTTTTATTAGTCTAAGGAGGTTTAATTACTTAAAAAAAGGTTGTAATTATAGATTATATTTAATTATCTTCATATAAATTTGAAAATTTCTCCAACCATAGCCAATACTCATAACTAAATCTGTACCTAGCAACTATTAGCAGATCTCAACATAATACAATTCATTTAGCTGTTAATATATTAATGTTATATGTTGAGTCTGTAATATTATTACATACAAAACTATATATTAGCTTTACTAATATAAAGTCATTACATAATTCCATCGACACTATATACAGGTACATATAACTAACAAACGAACACACTAAATCTATATCTCGATAAACGATAACATCTAATTATATACATAGTACATTACAATACATAATGTGCTATCTAATGATACGAGTTATAATGTAACAAACAGACAGACACACATACAGTGTGACCGAGGATACGTGGAGTAGAGCGTCGCCTGCGACTAAGGTCGAGCACGATCATCTGTAATAACAATATATAGTTGTTAGTTAATGATTGTCAATGTCATAAATATAAATATACAGTGGACCCTCGGCAGTCCGACAAACATTTTGCAGGGTAGTATCGAACTATCGAATTCTTCGGATTATAGAGTACTGCCTAAGACTCCATATAGTCCGGTTTTTTTTTACAAAAGAGTACCTTGTAATCCGACAAATTACAGATTCAATGATAAGATTATTTACATATTATATATACATATTATGTACTTATATGTACTCTGAAGTACAAATTCAAATTCCAACTAAGCAATCAGAATCAAAACAATACCCTACGCGTGGAGCACAATAGCGATGGTGCGTACAAGTTGTAACTTGTTCAATCATGCATTAGCGAATACAAAATATGTATTCAATAATAAATAATAGAGCATGTCGGATTACAGTGGGTGCCGGATTACCAGGGGTCCACTGCATATGAGGAGGTTATTAGAAGTTATACAGTAGTTATGTATGTGTGTTAATGTGAAAGGTTGTGTTTGTGCATTTCATGACAGTCGAATGTTTGTGTAAAGTTCTGTCGTGATTGAGTGTGTATTCTACTAATGTGTCTATGTGTGTATTATACAAGTTAGGGGTCGTTCAAGTATTACGTAAGCACTATGGAGGGGCGGGGGGTCTTTGCTTTATTTTGGATGACATGGGGGGTAGGGGAGTCTAGGTAATGATTACGTCATCGGTAGTTATTTACTTTTTAATCGTCACATCGAAAAGATCCATAAAAAATATAATTAGAATATTTTTCTGGGTTTAAATGAAAAAAACATTACAGTAATTGAAAATGTTTACGTAAGCATGGTGGGGGGGGGGGGGGGGGGTAAGAGCTTTGCTTACTTTTGCTGACAAGGGGGATGGGGGGTAAATATTTTTAATAAATCTGCTAACGTAATACTTAAACGGCCCCTTAGTACCTAAGTGTGTATATATACTTGTATGTGTGTGCAATGGAAAAGGTTCTGTTAGTGTGTATTTTTTTTGTAATATTCTCCGTATTTGAACGTGGAATCCATCACCGTGGTGTTATACAAGCTTGTGTGTCTGTCTGTGTGTGTGTGTCCCTCACTCGTCGAGCGTGGCCATCCTGGGCGGCGTCCTCCAGACAGCGGAGGAGGTCCTCTTGAGTCTCGCGCGCTCAATGTTGGGGAAGATCTCCCTGAGGTCGGGCGTGTGCTCCCTCACACTGAACAGACGGTCGATGTGATGTTGACTGATACGGGACTGGATCGATAGTTGGATACGACGGTTCTGAAATATATATTATATTCATTTATATTATATAAGACAAGTATATACAAAGCATATAACCTCTGTTTATGTGAATAAGACCCGAACAAAATGTGTCACATCGATGTATAATTAATTCATACATTACGTAGGACTTACGAAATACAATACAATACCAATTTGGTTAAGAACAATTTCTAATTTAGAATTAACATTCAATATTAATAATAATAATAATTTATTTCAGACCATATTGTAGATCCATATAGTGTTAGTACAAATTAAACTTAATAAATGAATTGGTTAGTAAATTTACAAAAGAAAAGCAATTTTATTTATGACTAGCTTTTGCCGCGGCTTCGTCCGCGTGGAATAGTGACTTCCGACAGATTTTTGGTTTTTCCCACATAGTTCCCGTTCTTGCGGGGTTTTCGGAATGGTCGAGTTCCCGTAGAATTTTCAGGATAAAACCTATGTTTTTTTAATTCACAATGAAGTACTCTTAACCAACAATATATTTATTTGTTTATTTGAATAAAGATTAATATTATTATGTTGATACAACTTAAACAAATTATTTCGACAAAATTAGGTACCATAAAAACGGTTTTTGTGAGTTAATCTTAAAAGATAGACATATACTGTCGCGGACTGTTTTTTAGATCATTAAAAGAGCTATTATTCTTTAATACATATTTTTTGTGTATCTTGAACCGTTTTCACGGCGCACGCAACGGAAGGCTTCAAAGATGAAATAATTTCTCCCGTTTTTTACACATTTACCACTATATACTTGCTCCTATTGGTCGTAGCGTAATTTTATATAGCCCACAGCCTTCCTCGATAACTGGACTATCCAATACAAAAAGAATTATTCAATTCGAACCAGTAGTTTCGGAGATTAGCGCTTTCAAACAAACAAACAAACTCTTCAGCTTTATAATATTAGTATAGATACTTAGCTAATTTTAAACAAAACATATTTTACTTGACTATATGGAGTCGTATCCAGTGTGCTAAAATTGGTGAATCCCAGCGAATGTTATAAAGGTATCCCTTATATGAGATAAATACATATCTGTCCAACATATATTGAACACCGTTGTGAAATTACCTTAGAAGTGCTCCATACAGGTGGAGGTCTTTCTGGAGGTTCTTCTTCATCGGAGTTGAGATATTGGAAGCCATCTTGCATGTACACGGGCTCGATGGCAGCCATTTTGTTTGGTGTTCTGTCTCCTTCTAAATTTTTCATTTTCATTCTCTCTATAAACTCTCTTTGTTTCCTCTCTATTTCTCTCTGCCATTGAGCTGCTTCCTTTTTCATGCTGTTTTAGAAGTATAATAGTAAATTCTTTGTATTATAGTAATTGATGTTTCTATACATTGAGATTTTCGCGAGTACTCATTTAAATGAATTTAATATTTTCGGATTTTTACTTCGCGTTTTTATTTTTGATTATGAACTACATACTCTCTACTAGACATTCACATTTCGTCTTAATGATGACGGTTGCTGTAAAGTAACAGAAACGTTTGGAGTATGTAGTTCATAATCAAAAATAAAAAGGCTAAGTAAAAATCCGAATATATTAGTTTCATTTTAACTATACATCTTTATACTAATCATTCGTTAAGAGATTTTCATTTAGATATAACTTTAATGAAAAAAATACCATCCAAATATATGAAGTTAATTTAAACATCCTATATATGTAGTATATATGTTCATCTAACAGCTAAAGAATTAGATTATAGATAGACGTGGGTTCGAAATAGTCGTATACTTATTCGTAAGGATGATAACTCTGATTACAAAGTGGTAAAAAAATAATGACTTTTTAAGCAAATTAAGTTAGCGTGTGAGGTAAATTTCATGTATTGTTATCATATTGCTTAAAATATATCATGTCCATTAAGATTTTTTATCAGAATGTTCGCCGAGTTAGAACTAAACTCATGATGTTTATCGTAATGTAGTAATCAATGATTACTGTAGTAACTTATTTTAAGTTTATTATTCATTAATATGTAATATAAATTGCTATTTATTATTTTTTTGATTTAGATTTATCAAACAATACTTAAAAGAAAGATTTGCGTATGCAGTGTTTGCTTTTAACTGATTTTACACAGTTTACGCATGTTTTTAATTTTATATGTAACGTTATTTAAATATACATTTGTGTAAAAATGAATGAATAAATCTAGTATTTCCCTATGTGTACAACCCTATTATTCCCACTCTCTCTCTCTCTCTCTCTCCTACTAACATTTTTTCCTCCTCCAATTGTCGTTTCCTCGCCTCCTCCATTTTCCTCTGTTCATTCTGTAGTCTGCTCGCTCGAGCAGCTTCCTCTAGTTTCCTTCGTTCCTCTGTCTCAGCAGCCTTACGTGCTTGCTCCATTTTTTTCTTCTCGACCTGAATAGATAATTTTGTATATGCTTAAATGATTAAAATAAATTATTAAATAAAGTATAATATGTTGAGTATCATCCATTGTTGAATTATGAGGAAGTTTTAGTGGCACAAAACAACAAAAATTCATAAAACAAAATTATGTTTTTATATGCACAAATATATATTACACAAAATTATGTTTTGCTAAAGAATATATATGAAAATTCCTCTTCAAATTTATTTAAGATATATATGTAAACAAAATAATTATATAATTATATTGTTTTTTCACAAGATAGAAAATATGTTAAGCCTTTGTAAGTGTTCATCTAAATTAAAGTGACACCGCGGGGCGCAGCTATATGTATATATATATTGCGCAGCTATTGTCGGAAATAGTGTAAATCCGCGTAACTTGTACCGTTGGATAATTCCGTTTATTTTAGGATTTCCGTTAATTTACCGCGGATTTCCGGGATGTAAAGTAGCCTATGTGTTATTCCTGGACGTCAGCTTCCCGTATACAACATTTCATCAAAATCGGTTCAGCCGTTTGAGCGTGAAGAAGTGACAAACATACACACACACTCACAAACTTTCGCAATTATAATATTTTATATTAGTAAGTGTGTTATCCATACCAAAGTCAGAGATAGCCAAAACTATTTATCAGTTTAAGTTAAAATAAGACATAATTTATAAATTTTAGAATTATTTTAGATACTTTAAGGCTTATGTTTATTGTTGAAGGTGGGATTATTATTAAGGGAACGATGGGACTGACATTTAGCTTTGCTGCTAAAAAGTCCCAAAATAAAATCAGAAAAAAAAAAATAATAACTATAATATTAGTAAGATGTTGTTACATCTCATATAAAGCCTGACCTCTTTCAGTCTATCCAGCCTGCCCTGGTCTGCCTGTATCTGCCTCTCCCGCCTCTCCCTCTCCGCTGCCTGTATCGCTGCCCGCCTCATGTTCTCAGCCGCTGTTCTAGCCGCTGCAGCCGCTGACATCTTCTCTTCTCTTTTTCTAGAAGAATTAAGAGTTCACATTAATATTATACATCATCATTGTACTATGATCTTTGGTTCCATATGTAAGTATAACTAGTCTAGTATAACTAGAAACATCCCCGTTCTGCTCTAGTGGGGTATGTGAGACAGTGTATTATATTTATTGTATAGATACATATACTACAATCATCATCAGTCTATCAGAGCCCACTGCTGAGCTTCTTTCTCACATGAAGAAGGTTTGAGCATTAATCACCACGCTTGCTTAACGGGTTGGTGATTTCAAACTTATAATTTGTTATAACTCCAGGTTTCCTCACGATGTTTTCCTACACCGTCAGTGATGTCTAAATAGTAAATACTATTAGAAAGTACATATGACTTGGAAAAATCACATTGGTACTTGCCAGGATCGAACCCGCGCCCTCACGTATGAGAGGCGAACCTTTAACCACTAGGCCGCCACTGACAATATTAAATGGTATCTGTGTGACGTCATAACTATTCGAGATATATTTTTTAGAATTTTAATTAATTAAAACTTTTTGGTAATAACCAGGATTTTTTTAAAAGAACAATAAGTTTAATATTTTCAGTGTTGAATATCTGTAGTATAAAGGGTCTTTTATGGAATTGATCTATGTCGGTATTTCAATCATATAAGTTAATAATAATAATGACTTATTAAAAATATTTTGAACTTTTCCATAATATAAATGTTAATTTACGTAGTTACAGAATCTCTTCTGCGTGTAATTATATTGCTTATACTTTAGTTCATTATTAAATTTTTATTCTTATATGGAATCCTCAAACTAATTTTCACTATCACTATTCTTTACAAGAACAATTTAAAACTACTATTTCTCGAAATTTCGTTTTTCACATATTATGGAATTTGAGAGAAATGTATATTATATGTAAGCAATAATTGAGTTGAAAAAATCGTATACAATATTAATGTCACGTGACGTTACTCATTTTAATTTTGACTTACCACTTGTACTACACAGAATTTTGAGTTAATTTATAATCATAAAAATATACATTATTGTAAAATCTGTTACTGAGAAATCTGTGGTATTATTTCTACAGCAATCTATAAAGAAAATAGTCAGTGGTGGCCTAGTGGTTAAAAGGCCTCTCATTCACGAGGGCGCGGGTTCGAACCTGACAAGTACCAATGTGATTTTTCGGAGTCATATGTACTTTCTGAGAGTATTTAGACATCACTGACATACGGTGAAGGAAAACACCGTGAGGAAACCTGGACTTATAATTTCACAATTATAAGTTTGAAATCACCAACCCGTTAAGCAAGCGTGGTGATTAATGCTCAAACCTTCTCCATTTGAGATAGAGGCCTTTGATCAGCAGTGGGCTCTGAAAGGCTGATGATGATGATTCACAATAAGTAAGGCAGATCCTGGCTACAGCTGGGATATTGCCAGTTAGAAGAAAATGTATCCTTATAATCCGACATATACCTTCGTTGCATCTCCTTCTTAGCTTCTAACATAGCTTCTTTTTTCCTTCTAGCATCTTCTTTCTCACGTCTTTCGTCATCTCTAGCGGCGCTGATCTTAGAAGCAGAGGCTGTTACTGAAGTCTTCATAGGTATATTAGTACGAGGCTTGGACGCCGATGATGAAATCTGATGATAAATATATTAATTTAAATAATTAATTTCGGTTATAACGACCACTTATATATTCACTATATACGAAATAATAAAGTCATGCACATATTCATTTAATTATCATTCAGTCAGGGACAGTGCAAATCTGCGTAACTACCGTTGGATAAATCCGCTTATACATTGGAAGCAGATTATCAGAAGTTTAAACTGAATTTTTTTTGTATATTAACGACTTTTAAGGTATATTTTTCGCAATGAGTAATAAATTAAACATTAAATAATTACTAATTGTTAAAAAATTAGCTTAAAAGTTGATAATATAGAAAATATTTCAGTTTAAACTTTATTCTGATAATTTAATCTCCGATTATATGTATGTTTGTTTACCTGTGGAGGTTTTCCATTGAATATAAGAGTGTTCATCTTAGTGAGAGTGTCTGTTGATATAACAGGCTTTGTCCTATCTGGAGGCGTTTGATTGTCTGTTTGAACTGGTTCCTCCTGAAAAAATATATATGAAATAACTTTAATATGTATCGATAATAATATATTATTTAACAAGTATTATAATTATAGTAGATATATGTAAAAACTTGGCGACTTTATCGCTAACGAGCGTTTTCTTAAAGAAACACATATATTAAGTAACAAATATATGTCTATTATCTTATATCTTTTAATGAGCAATTCTTGTATATATTGATATATAATTGGTATCTCTGAATCGGCTTCAACCATTTTTCAGAAAATGTCATTTTATAAAAAGAAATACCAAAAACGAGGCGTTTAAAATATGACTCTTCCTGACATCTATTGGGGAATAACAATACGTACTACATTTGCAAATTGCTTTTACTAATTGCTTTAACGACACAACAGCAGATGGCGTTGTTAAGAAACAGGAAGTCAATGAGGTTTTGAGATTAGACTAAGAAATTAATTGTTGATTTATATTGTTTTGTGTCTTCTTAACGTGTTCACTCAAATATGCCTAAACGAGATGAAAAAGAAAACACAAAATAAATACCAATAATTACTAAATATCGAAAAATCTTCGTGTCCAGATATTTACAATATTAAGAAGCAAGCAATTAAAATTAAGACAATAAGATAAAAATAAAGAAATTAACACATATATATGATACCACAAACAGGATTTAATTCATCTATATGTTTAACAGATGCTAGTAATTTTAAACTAGACGCTATATTATAGTTAATTCTATGTATATGTATGATAAATAATATAATAAAATGGATAATTTCCGAATACTACGCGTTTTCATTATTTTATAATTAAATATTTTTGTTTCTGTTCCTTAACAGCAACCATGATCACGAACAGACGAAATGAAAGAAATTTTCATATGAAAAGCCTAGTATTCGAAAAAAATTGTTTTATTTAAATGAATACACGCGAAAATCTTAGATTTAAATATATTTTCAGTCACTCCAGTAACAAGAAATATCTAAAAAGGCATATTTTAGATGTTTTTGTATTAAAAGCTGTTTTATATAAGAATGTATATAAAAATACCTTTTTAGCCATAGCCCTCGTTTTAGTACGAGTCACTCTCGTTGCCATTTCCTCAAACTGTTGAACCTTTTCTTTTACGGCGGAACTGGAAAAAATATACATATAAAATATATTTAATATCTCAAACATAATCGTATTTAATTAATAGTATTTCTTTTAAAGTTTCTTTTACATTATATTGCACTCGTTAGAAAAGTGGAAAACTGAAAAATATTAACATATCATAAGGAGAGAGTAGAAACTGTTATTTTCAGTTAACGTTATTACTATTTATAATTTATAAGTTCACATTGAATTAACCACAAACAGTTAATAGTTTTGGATTTAAAAAAAATCACATACGATATTAATGTGGAGTGGTGAATGATAAATAGAGATAGACAGTTTTAAGTCTATGTAAAGCTAAATAAATGTTTATATACAGTGTAAACTCTATATAACGACACTCGATTTAACGACAAACTCTCTAAAGCGTCGAAATCATTTGTCTTTGGTTGGTTTCGCTTGTCTACCTTACAATCATACACTCTACATAGCGGCGCACACACTCTCAATAACGACAACAATTAAGTAATAAAAAGTACCTTTTAAGTTGCTAAAATTAGTAAAAACTGTGCAGCTGTGTACGTTCCTTTGTCGCTTTGTTATCCTAGCCCGCAATAAACTCGACTGTCCCTATCATCCATACTGAACTTTCTAAGAAATTCGTTCTTTTGTTTACAATTACAAATTGATTACACGTGTAAACGGTTTTTGACCATAAGTAGGAGTCTTGTATTACCTATACGTTAACATAAAAAGTTGCTCACAAAATCTCAAACTAAAACATTCTTTTTTATGTACATAAGTACTAACACTAGTCTGAAATAAACTTTGTCTTTTTCTAATTCAGATTTTTCTTCTTTCTATTTAACGGCAACTCTCTATAACGCACTAAAATGCACGGTCCCTTCAGTGTCGTTATATAGAGTTTACACTGTATTTATTTTTAGTACTATGAGGGCGTGGGTGCGATCATGGCAAGTACCAATGTGATTTTTGCGAGTCATAAGTACTTAAGAGTATTTAGACATCACTGACATATGGAGGAAAATATCGTGAGGACACCTGGACTTATATCAAATGATAAGTTTGAAATCACCAACCCGTCTTGAGCAAGCGTGGTGATTAATACTCAAACCATCTCTAAATGAGAAGAGGCTTTGCTCAACAGTGGGCTCTGATAGACTGATGATGAATATCCTACTAATATTATAATTGCGAAAGTTTGTGAGTGTGTGTGTATGTTTGTTACTTCTTCACGCTCAAACGGCTGAACCGGTTTTGATAAAATTTTGTATACAGGAAGCTAACGTCCAGGAATAACACATAGGCTGCTTTACATCCCGGAATTCTCGGTAACACCGCGGGGCGCAGCTAGTGTTATAATATTTAATATATGTTATATATACTAACGTAGGTTCCGGTATCTGTTTGTTAGTCGGCGTCTTCATTTCCAGTGATTCGTCATCAGTTAGGAGCGAATCGTTGCCCGGTGCGATTGGAGCCTTATCTGAAACTATATACATACATACATATTACAATAATACAATTATTACAATGAGGTAAAAATTTTAAATGAATTATCTTTTTCATAATCCCTACTAATATTAAAAATGCGAAAATAACTCTGTCTGTCTGTTACGCTTTCACGCCTAAACCACTGAACTGACATTAATTAAATTTGGTACAGAGACAGAGTTGACCTTGAAAAAGAACATAGGATAGTTTTTATCCCAGACTTTTGAAAGGTTCTCTTGGAAACGCGATATAACCGAACTCCACGCGGGCGAAGCTGCGGGCGGAAAGCTAGTACAAAATGTAAAGGAATATTGCTCTTAATTCAACAAGTTTGATTATTAAAAATTTCGTATAATAATAATTTTATACTCTGGTTATTGATATTTAAATAATTTCATTATAAAAACTTATTTATATCATTCTAATATCTATACTTACCTTTCTCCAAAACGACTGTTTCATTCATAACCTTATTCTTTTCTTCTTTGCCTGTTTCTATCACCACGGTCTCGTTCATTTTATTCTACGAAATTATATTTAATATGAGAACTGCAATATTATATTTCACAATATTTAAGTATATAAAGATAAAAAATGACTATTGAGGGAAAATTACGTAAGTATTTTTTAATTTAATAAGTTGGCAAACATATGAAAACATGTAAGGATACTGTTACGCACATTATTAATTAAAAATATATAATACAAGTTATATCTTGCGATTTCATTCGCGAAAATATTAGAATAGAACTCAAATGTATGAAATGTGGTTAAACAATGCATATTACAGCATTTCCAATTGAATACAGCGCCATCTATCGGGTTGATTTGTGAATCTTAAATATCCGAAGCTTCATACAAATGTATACAAAACTTGATTCAAATTAGTTTAGCTATTTATTGGTTCAGTCACAAACATACATACATACATAAATATTATATATATACTAGTTATTGCCAGCGACTTCGTCTGCGTTAGTTTCAAAATTATAAATTTATAGCTGATACGAATTCTATTCCTCTTTTAAGAGTAGTTAAGAAGATATTGGATTTGATCAAGTTATTCTTTTTGAACCAAATGAAAAGTATCCTATACATATTGCCTTACTCTAGATTAGATTCTGCATTATATTTTATATATCAGCGGTTCCCAAACTTATTTTGTGTACAGCATAATTTGAGAATAAATTATATTTTCACGTACTGAAAAATCATTAACTTATCCTAGATAAATTAAATTACACATCACCCCAGATTTTTAGACAACACCCGAAATTTTTTCTGTATCTTTTTACTTCCTTTAAGCTTACAGGGCATAACACAAACTTAGGAAAACACTGATATATGTATATCCTACTAATATTATAATTGCGAAAGTTTATGTGTGTATGTTTGTTACTTCTTCACGCTCAAACGGCTGAACCGATTTTGATGAAATTTTGTATACAGGAAGCTGACGTCCAGGAATAAGATATAGGCTACTTTACATCCCGGAAATCGGAGGTAACACCGCGGGGCGCAGCTAGTATATATATCTCACCACTGCTTGAGGCGTTCCTGGTGCATGTTGGTACATAGCTTGTGGTAATATCATAGTGCTGTTCATATTACTGATAGTGACTGTACTATTTAATTGTAAAATCCTCGTTTTTTCCATATCATTCTGTGGTTCATCTTCTTTGTTGTCTATGTTATCTGTATGCTCTATGTTATGTTCTTGTCTATGTTTTGTCTTTGGTATTATTTTCTGTAGTACCGGTGATGTCATTTCACTGTCTACTGTGTCTATTGCTTTAATTTCCACTTCATTTTCTTGTTTTTCATTATCATTTTCAGTTTTATTTTCGATATCTTGTTTTTCACTGAAATATATTTTTGGTTAAATTGAGTGATATTTTAATATAACCATTTAAGAAACTTTGTTACATTGAATTTGATAGTTATACAGGGTGACTGGTGAATTACTATCGATATTTGAGGACGTGATATTTGACGATCATAATTATATGACAAAATAAAAATTAATATAACATAAATATTAATAAACTTCTAAGTAAGTTAACCAAAAGTTATGTACTTAATTACGCATCGTGTGAACACCCTACAGATTAGGTATACACACACACACACACACACATACGCGTGCGGCGACGTGGTGTTATATCAGCACTCCGCCGCACGCGTCCACACTTGGAACACTTGGAACGTATCCACACTTTATTTATTTATACGGAAATTTGGTCAAAAATAAAGTACCTATTTTTTTTACATAATTCGAATGAGAATCATGTACCGAGTATTCTCCTTAAATATTGATAGTAATTCACCAGTCACCCTGTATATAATTGAATCGAATACCTGTATTTTTAACTCTTACAACAAGTTTGCATTAGTCAACTAGATACTCAGCTTTTTCAGTCTTTTAATACATTCATTGACACGATCAAGTTTGAATATTTATGAATAAAAAACGTTAAACTTTCCTTTTGAAACCGAGACAAATAACTTACAGACGTACGGTCAAATAAAACGATCGTTAAATACAAACTTATTAAACTTTCAAAACATATGCATAACAACAATGAAAGACAATTCTCACATGCTGAAAAGTGACGCAAAATCTCTAAGAGACATTTTTCGTATGTAATTTGATAATACAAACTTGTGGTAAGAATACATATGCAGTGTCACATGTTGTTTGAAATTATAAAGTTAATATATATATTAGTTAATTAAATATATTTTATACTCACGATACTTTTCTAGCTCTCCTAGTACGTTTCGGTCGTGGTTTTTCAGCCGGGGAGGCTGTAACAATATATATAATAATAATATTTAATTAATAATAAAATATATAAAGATTACATATATTAATAAGACAATTAATGAAAAGTGAAAATTAAGCATGTATTATGATTTGAAGTAATTTAGATTATACTTATATTTATATCTATCCCTACTAATAGTATAAATGCGAAAGTAACTCTGTCTGTCTGTTACGCTTTCACGCCTAAACCACTGAACTGATTTTAATGAAATTTGGTACAGACAGGGTTGACCTTGAGAAAGAACATAGGATAGTTTTTATCCCAGTTTTGAAAGGTTCTTTTGGAAGCATCATATAACCGAACTCCACGCGGGCGAAGCTGCGAGCGGAAAGCTAGTAAATTAAATACAAACCTGTTTCATTTTCAACAACAGTGTCTTTTTCAGCCTCAACGGTTGATGTTTCTTGAGCCTGAAAACATTTTTTATATCACATATATATAAATATGATAATAATATCGTATAGTTGAATAATAGAATTTGTTTATATAATTTATCTTGTTTCTTTGTCGTTATATACTAACCTTTTTCCCCCTGGTTCGCTTGTTCCCTTCTTTGTCTTCTTGTTCTGTTAGTCTAGCGCGACTTGAACGTACCGGTCGTGGAGCTAAAAATATATTATATATATACAGGGTGACTGGTGAATTACTATCGATATTTGAGGACGTGATATTTGACGATCATATATGACAAAATAAAAATTAATATAACATAAATATTAATAAACTTCTAAGTAAAGTCAACCAAAAGTTATGTAATTAATTACGCATCGTGTGAACACCCTACAGATGAGGTATACACACACACACACACACGCGCGCGGCGGCGTGGTGTATCAGCACGCCGCCGCGCGCGTTCACACTTGGAACGTGTACACACTTTATTTATTTATACGGAAATTTGGTCAAAAATTAAGTACCTATTTTTTTTACATAATTCGAATGAGAATCATGTACCGAGTATGCTCCTTAAATATTGATAGTAATTCACCAGTCACCCTGTATATAACTGTAGTAACTATTTTTTTATATAGAAGATGATTAAAGAAGCAATATTAATAATTGAAATGAAACTATTAGTTCTCGGATTATACTATGCGACTTTATTTACAATTTACAGTAGATTTTAACAAAAATTAAGGAGCGTAGTATAATCCTAATAATATTAGTTTCATTTAAGCTAAAAAAAGATATATTTAAAATCAGTGGTTGGTAATAAACTGTTAAAATCACATTGTCTTGCTTTTGTATTGACTAATTAATATAATGATCATGTACACTATTCATATAGTATTGTTTACAATGTTTATCTTGTCTGGTTGTCACTCTACCTGTTTGTGACGTCATGGAGTCCGTCTGTTTCCGGTTCCGGGTTGTCCGTCTCCTTTCCGTATCCCCTTGGTCATTTTCTTCCGGTTTATCGACCTTTCTGCGTGGTTCTGTGATTTTTGGGTTTAATTTAATGTATATTTAATGAACAAAAAATTGGCTTTGGTATTATTATAATAATATTTATATAAAACTTTGTCTTACTTAAAATGCAAAGAAATGTTTGTCATATACAAGTAGTTCAATATGCTTTTTACAAGTAAACATGAAATAAATATATTATTATTTTACTTTAAATCTCTTTTCTTATTTAATATTACAGCTGTTGCTTATATAATATGACGATATTTAACAGACACAATTAAAAGGTTTTTGAGTTTCGTTTTGGTCACCCATCCAATGTTAGGTAGCGTGTACTGTAACTTAGCACGGAAATAGGTTAATTTTTAACTTACTCGGAACAGGCGGAGGGGGCATGGCTACTTCTTCTTTACGTTCTTGCTTCACTTCTATATTAACTGGTACAGATTCGATATCTATTGGCTCGGGAACGATAGAAATTTTCTCCAGTTTTACTGAAAGTATATATATTATTAAATAATAATTAATTATTAAACTAGCAACGATCAAACCACCAACAGTTTGTTCTTAATTATAGTCAAAAGAAGAAGCTCTGAACTAATTACTAATTATTCTTGAATAATATTGGTCATTGGCCGGCGAACTTTTGTTTTAAAATTCATAACGTGTTTTATTTTCTAACGATATATATACCGTTTTATTGATGTGAATTTAATAATATTTAAGTTTATTTATCATTATGGGTTTTTATCAATCTGCTAGGCTTTTTAGTCATATCGTTTAAATGAAAATGTTAATTTAGATAAAAAATATTGTTTTGAAAAGACATGTATTTAATAATTATTATTTAAATTCATTATATTAAAGTAACTGATAGTAATTTCAAATAAATATATCTATGCAATATGCGAATCTTGTAATATGAAACATTATGTTTCGTTATTTGGACAAGGAAATGTTGATTGATGTTGATTTTTTGACAAAAAAAATTATAAAGCTGCAAGTTTTTTCTTTTTTTGATTAATAAATAAAAATTGATAGTATTGGAGAATAAATGCTCTAGTTGTTAAGCAACACAAGAAAAAATTGGTAAAACTAGTAAAGAACTTCAATTTAGTGTCTTTAATATTATATTTATTGCAATTACTAAAATCTTTAATTTTTACGTTTTTTACAGCCATTTTGTGTTTTGTTGTTGGTCAATAATATATTTCAGTTCATAGTATTATATGTTTCTACGTATATAGTACATACATATATAAAATTGAGTGAAAAATCAATCATTTTGAACAAAATAATTAAATTTAAATTCAAATATAGGAAAAAAATAAATAGACTGGTTTATACACCATACACCGAACAGGATACTTCAGTTAGAAAGGCGACTGTAACACGATGCTACAGAAGTCACAGGTTCAAATCCCGTAATGTATTTTGCTTTTTTATTGTTAATATATCCTACTAATATTATAATTGCGAAAGTTTGTGAGTGTGTGTGTATGTTTGTTACTTCTTCACGCTCAAACGGCTGAACCGATTTTGATAAAAATTTGTATATAGGAAGCTGACGTCCAGGGATAACACATAGGCTACTTTACATCCCGGAAATCCGCGGGTAACACCGCGGGGCGCAGCTAGTATACTATACATATATGTTATTTTTGTTATTATATATACTATATATGTTATTTTTGTTATTATATATACTGTTTGTTATTTTTATCATACATACTCTGCAGTATCGGTGCTGGTTCATTTTCTTTGTCGTCATCTTTTCTGCGCCTGCGCGACTGAGTTGAGTTCTCTCTACGGAGTTTCTCAGTTAAGTTTTGATTTACCTGAACATAAAATGTATATTAATATGTGAATATAACATACATTAAAATAGTTTATAAATGTAGTGTATGTCACGTGTATTCATTTAAATGAAAACAAGATTTTAAATTACTACGGTTTTTTTATTGTTTCATAACTACATAACCTCGACGTTAGGGTTTCTTTACTATTCATTATTGTTAAAAGAAATAAAAATATGAATGTAATAAAATTATAAAAAAAGTTATTATAAAGATATATAAAGATATTAGTTTCATTTATAGTAGTCTATGACAGCAACTTAGATTTTTTGGGCTAAGAGAGAAATTATAATGTATATTTGAATAATATAGTAAATATGTGAATTCATACTAAATAAAAAAATTGTGTAAAACTCCTTAGTGAAGAGAGTTTTATACAAATCTATTGAATAATAATTAAATAAATCTTTTATGTAATATAAGTAGTTAATACATATTTGAATTGTATTAAATATATATAATTCAAATATTACATTAAAGTATGTATATTTGTTTGTGTAAAACACTATATAGTTTTGAAAATAATTCAATACTATATTATAGAATAACTAGCTGATCCGGCATACATTGTTTTGAAATGTAATAAAAATTTTGGGTTGTACATATGTATTTTTTAATGCTACACAAGACTAACAGGAGAATTTTATGTGTAAGATTATCATCAACTTAAAATGAAACTAATTGTATTGTGAGTAATAAACTGTGAGTACTATAACTATGTAATCATTATCTAGTACAAATAATAATACTGTTCCAATATTAATATCAACAATATTTTTTTGCTACTATACTAAGTTAAAGTTATACCATATTAGGAGACAGCACAATGATATTTTCATCAATTAATCTCATTTGTCCTTTCACCTGAACAGATCAATTAAGACTTAATATTAAGAAAATTAAGTTTTTTATAGTAGAAAACACTATTCATAAAGATAAAATATTGTTGACTAGCTGACCCGGCAGACTTCGTACTGCCTCAATCAAGAAATAAATTATGTCCTATTTATTTTTTTGGTGTTTACCTTTAAGCCATAAATCTCCGTGTTCTGAAGTGTGACAAAATGATGAACATATTAGTTAGTTGTCAAATCTAATGTCAAGAAACCGTTTGTATGGGAAATAAAAAAGTGCTGTTTTTAGGGTTTTCCCGGAAATTAATAAAAAAAATTCAGCTTTTAAACCTTTCCTGAACCTCCACGAACATTTCAAGACTATGATAAGATAAATCCGTTTAGACGTTCTCGAGTTTGAGTGAGACCAAGGAACAGCAATCCATTTTTATATATATACAAGATAGATAAAAGATAATTGGTATACATACTTGTTTGCTTATAACACTTTGAGCTTTAATGGAGGCGTTTCTTTTTGGTCGTTTTTCAATCTCGGGGCTCTCCATACCTTCAACTTCATGTTTGCTACGTTTCTTCGATCTCTGTTCTGTGTTATGTATTGGTTCGTCGGCTTTTGGTGTTTCATCTTCGGTAATTGTTTATTATTAAATATTTAGTAATGTGAATATATTGTAATGAAAATATTGATTTAAATCTTCATGATTAAGTAATTGGAAGTTAATATAAATTGTTTGAAGACACTTAAATATTAAAATAATTTTCAAGACAATGTTTAATGACATTTAAAAATTTTGTGAGTATTTATGTAAATGAATAATATTTTCACATTAATACGAATTATTTATTATATTAAACTACATAACCGATGTTTCGGTTACTAATCAGCAATCGAAAAATTAGTTATAAAGTTTCATTTAAATGATGTTTAAGTTGTAAATAATGAATAATTACTACACAATTTATATTGACTAAGTAATATTACTTTCTGTTATTCCACAGAAACTCAATATATCTAGTAGTTTATTCAATTGGCGACATTAAAATATTGACAACGTTTCAACTAGGGGCCAATGGGTGATCACCAAGTTGAATACATTTTTAAGCTGAATAAGTGAATAATATTGCTAAGTTTTGTATAAAACTAAAATTAATGGTAGATTATTTGTTTTACCTTCATCCTCATGTATGCTTTGAAGGATTGTCGTATGATTTTTATCCTTTTGATTCTTATCGCGGCTTTTACTTTTAGAATTCAGATATTCTTCTTTGAACTTATCCAAAGCGAGAAATGCGGCCTGGAATCCATTTTTTCACACACATTAAATAAAATTTATTACTTTTAAGCACATTCACATATTGAAGTTACAGTTAAAACTTAAAACACACGAAATACTATATACATTGTGTATAATACTTTTTGAGGATAAACATCTTTACCTCGAGGTCATCGTCAAAATTTCTAATATAAGCATTTGATATTTCTTCTAATTTAGGTAGCAATTCACCAAAAATTGACATAATGAAAAAAAGTTTTATAAAATTTGACAAACGCTAGAAAACACTACACAAACGAAAACCGTTTGAAATTAAAATACCATACTGCCAACCTTACGGCGTTCAACGAATGAGAGGGGAAGCGTCTTGATGCGTTCATAAACTGAAGTTAAACACATTACTGAAATTTCTTCTACGTTAAAATTATTTTAATTTTTAATAATTAATTGATTTTTATATTATATTATATTTTTTTAATATATTTTAAGTTAATTATATTTTTTATAAATTAAGGAAACAATTTTCATATTTTTTTCTTTAATTAAAATACCATAGATCTTCAAATTACTATTATAGAAATTCAATATGAAAATTCAAATAAGTTTAATTCTCACTCTAATTATAATTTTTTGTTCGAAGTTATTGATTAAAATATTTAAAAAAGTAAATCAAATTCTATACTCTTACAGGAAAATTTCTTTAAACATTTGATAGATGGAGTTAGTGAGTTTTATATAGTGCCGAACAATAGATGGCGCTAGAGTGTTAAAACATAATTTTAATTCATTAAATATTTGTTTTAATCGTCTATATTAGAATGTAACATAATTAAAAGAAGTTTTTTTTTGTATATACTTATATTATATATATTTATATATTACTTACATTGACTCTTGAAGCCTGGTAGGAGTAGTTTGCTATGAATTGAAGTCAATAATCCATTCAATATATTAGAAAAAATATACCTTTTATAAAGAAACTAAAACGTAAGGTTGTAAACTAACGAATATTTATTTTGTTTAGCTCTAAAATAATTCCAATGTATATTAAAATTACGTCAAAGGAAGATTTTTCCGTTCAAGCGATGAGTACTCGAACCAATATTTGAGCTCTCCGTAATGAAGTATGTGTTGAATTTTTCTCTTATTTTCTAGTGTAGTCATAACTTTTTTACGCTTTCAAACATGAATTCTGAAAATACAAAGCAGCTAAAGAACTACAAGCTGGATTTTGTTACTTAAATACAAAAATATGTGCAAATATTATAACTTGAGCCACATTCATTTTGATTTAAAATTGTATTTACTGAAATTTATAAATTGTTTCAAAGAGAAATACGATACTTTATTTGATTATATATTTTATTAAGAAGAGGATCCTTTAATTGTAATATTTCATGAAAGATTTTGCATGGTTATTCATTTTTATGGTTACGAGGTGCTCTGCTCGTAAAAGTTTATGAAGATTTTATTTCGTCTCTCAATTGTTTTATGTTTCAAGTTACGTGTTCCCAAACTAAGAGGAAATTAAAGAGTTTACATGAGAGCTGTAGCGACAACTTCAGCGACATCTTGTTATTTTTATATAATTTACTAGCTTTCCGCCCGCAGCTTCGCCGCGTGGAGTTCGGTTATATCGCGTTTCCAAGAGAACCTTTCAAAAGTCTGGGATAAAAACTATCCTATGTTCTTTCTCAAGGTCAACTCTATCTCTGTACCGAATTTCATTAAAATCAGTTCAGTGGTTTAGGCGTGAAAGCGTAGCAGACAGACAGACAGACAGACAGACAGACAGACAGACAGAGTTACTTTCGCATTTATAATATTAGTAGGGATTTGGATCTACATAAATTGCTTGCATGGCGTAATAAAAGCAATCGTCAAGCGCTTGCAGTGACAAGGTTCTAACCGGGCTGAGTTGTTTGAAGTGAAGAACCGTGCGCACTTTACTGTGGGAAGCGACGTCGCGCCAAAATAAAATGCAATATAAAAAGACTGATGTAAGTCGAAATCTGTACGAATAAGGAAATGCCTGTATATTCAGAAACAAAAGTGATCATGAATTCCATATTTTAATATATATTTTTTATATTAAATATTACCGAATGAATACCTAGATTATAGACTTATTTTTATGACATGATTTAAAACTATATTACCATTTTCACATAACAGATTATTTTATGTTTTCTGAACTGCAATATGCAAAAATAAAAAAAGAACAAAAAATAAATCAAGTGATAGATAATATAGGTATATATTTTTATAGTAAACATACATAATATTGTAAGATCGTTTTATTTGAGTGTACTGGCGTCGTTCGGTCGCGCGTGTATCGAGCGGAATCACCCATCTGTAGTGTTGCCAAATTTGTCACGCGAATTTGACTTAGAATCCGTGATGGCTTAAGACATGCTTAGATTTTCAAAATTATAATACACTCTAGTGTATTATTGTAAAATTACTATCAGTTACATATAACATAGAAAATATTACTCAATTAACTTGAATCAAAAGTCCTTATAATCATCGATAATTGATATTTTAGTTATCAAATAAAAAGATACAATTCTGTATTTAAAATATATATTTTCTTAATTAGCATGATAGGTAAGATTATATATTATATTTAAATTATAATGTGGCTATAAATAGTTTTAAATTGTAAAATTATTTAGTGATTGCAACGAAATAAATTAATTTTACAGCAAAATCGTTTGCGTTTAAAGGAATGCATCTTATTGGATCGTCAATTTGAATTTCGAACGCCGTGTCCGGTCCCGGCGTCGTTCGGTCGCGATACTATTGAACGTTCCGGTGATGGCGGACGTTTTACTATGAATAAAATTACTTTTACGTAGATGCTCAATGACAATTTGTGAAATTAGTATATATAAAATTATAGTCTATACCTACGCAATATCAATGATTTATAATATGTGAAAAAATGTTTCAATTGATTAAATAAATAAATAAAAAATTTATTGTGATCGTCCAAAAAATATTCAGATGACTTTTTTAATGAAACGACTTTTTATTTAGATTTAAATTAAACAAATGTAAATATGTTGAAAATAGATTAGTCACGTTAGAAAAAAATTGAAAAACTCAAATATTAATTGCAGAACCTTTATTAATTAGAAAAAAAATTTATATCGTTAAGAAAAAGAAAGATTTTTTATTTATTTAGCCAACGAAACAGCAAATAAATAAATCGGTATAAATATTTCATAAATTGTAATAATCGTAATATTACTGGTTTTAATATAAATATGTGTTATTAATCGCATTAAATAATATTTTAAGTTTAATTAAGCTGAAAAAGTAACATTTGCTTGATCTTAACTTGTAGGTATACTCTGATAATAGTCCTGTCACCTACATTGATGATTTAGAAAACAGAATGGCGATAATTGATTCCAAATAACGAGAAATTTATCAAATGTTACACATAATGAAATGTTTTAGGAAGTTCCCTTAAACCTACACCTGGGTCGCAAGTCCCAGTCACTGTTGAAGCTCCTCTCACTACAACGATGGACCCGACACACGCACCGTGAATACATTGAATGATGAGAGGTTTCGTCTCTCTATATATATTAAACCTACACCTGGGTCACAAGTCCCAGTCACTGTTGAAGCTCCTCTCACTACAACGATGGTCCCGACACACGCACCGTGAATACATTGAATGATGAGAGGTTTCGTCTCTCTATATATATTAAACCTACACCTGGGTCACAAGTCCCAGTCACTGTTGAAGCTCCTCTCCCTACAACGATGGACCCGACACACGCACCGTGAATACATTGAATGATGAGAGGTTTCGTCTCTCTATATATATTAAACCTACACCTGGGTCGCAAGTCCCAGTCACTGTTGAAGCTCCTCTCACTACAACGATGGACCCGACACACGCACCGTGAATACATTGAATGATGAGAGGTTTCGTCTCTCTATATATATTAAACCTACACCTGGGTCACAAGTCCCAGTCACTGTTGAAGCTCCTCTCACTACAACGATGGACCCGACACACGCACCGTGAATACAGTGAATGATGAGAGGTTTAGTCTTGTATCTTATATTGAAGCAAAATGGCAATTGTAAAAGTTTTTAATTGTTGGCAATTTAATACTTTAAGTAAGCATTTTATTTTATCTATAACAATTAAATTAAAACATTTAAATTGAATGAAATTCAATAAATTATGTCACTATAAAGTTATTACTATAAAACTCTTTAAACATTGCTTATTAAGCGAAAAGAATTGGCCGCCATTTTGAGGTCGTATAAAAATGTTTGCAACGGTTATACAGTTTGGGTATTTGCCAAACTGGGTAAGCTTACTCTAGAAAAACTTAAGTCATATTAATTTACTGCCGCAATAATTGCTGATAGTTAAAAATTGGGCCAATTTTTTTAAATGATACTTTACGATTTTCTGCTTCAACAGCATTCTGATCGAAAAAATATTTTAAATTCAAGCCTGTCTTTTTTTAAGTCGAATCACATATAAAATGGATAGAAAAATAAGAAGTATGATGTAAAATTAAAGAATTTATTTATAGAGACATTTGTCATTTAATATTAAATTGGGAAATACTTCAAATAACGATACCTCAATTCAAATGGGTTAAATAGTTCTTATTATCTACGTATATATTAAAACTTTTATAAAGAACCTCCTTTTTGATGATGAATATATTGAAATAAAAAATAATTTAAACAGATATTATCTGTAATGAAATTGACGTATATATTTTTAATCTGTAACTATTTTGGCTTTATAAACATAGTGACGTATAAAACATGTCATCGTTGGATCTTTCAAAATTAAAATATACGTCTTTACGAGAAGCCTGTGTGTGTTTTTTTTAAGATAAGCCGGTCCTGTTCCAAACAATTAAATCTATCCGCTTATATCCCACAAGTTTGTACGGTCAGCAAAATAATAAAAAAATATTATCATTATTTTATTTAATACTATTTTATAAAACATTTATAGAAGATTATTAGATAAAATAGGTTTTATTTTTATTAAAAATCTGAACATTTGATTGTATGGGTATTTTGTTTAATGTTTTTTTGTTGGCAACGGTACTTGGAATTATTTTCGTGTGTGAAATATAAAAAGACTAAGTATACAGCGGGTGTATTAAACATTAAAAATGTACTCTACTTTTTGGTTGAAAGTTGAGTAGATTACAGTCGGGATATTATAATCGATTCTTCTTTAATAAC